TTTTACTTCTAGGAATTTACCCTTGGGAAATTATCAGAGAGGCAGAAAAATATAATGAATGAGGATGCTCGTCTCAGCTTTATTATATATTATATATTATATATTATTAGGGAAAAATTGGAAGCAGTCTGAATGTCCACCAAAGGGGTTGGTTAATTAAATCTGACATGCCCTAATCAGTATGAGGAATTGCTAATGATAGGCTGCTAAGTGAAAAAAGCAAGTTACAGAACTGTAAATATCATGGCCTCATTTTATCTAAAGATTGTACACACACACACATACATATATGTATACACGTACACATATACATGCATGTCTACGTGTATACCTGTGTGTGTATACACAGACACACTGCCTAATATGATTATGAGTGATTTTCATTTTCTTTTTTAGACTTTAAAAAAATGTTTTGCAGATTTTCAATAGTGTATTACTTTTATAACAGAAAAATGTTAAATTAAAAACAAAAGAAGCGCAATCAGAGCTTATTCAGCAAATGCCTAAATTAGATCAAGTTTTTAAGTAGTTAACATTATTCTACCTCTGAATGGTAGAAGCAAACCAGCTGAAACTTGTCTGTCAGATTTAGCTCATAATCCCTGGAATGCCTGAAGGGAACTATTACACAATTTCTTCCTTGGAGCAGCAGCGTTTTTCATTTGCACATTCTTAATTGACATAGCAAGGGAACATACTCTGGCTTCAGCTTTACATTCACATCCTTATACTTGGATTTCAGTAAGATAACATGCAGTTTCTTAATCAGAGTTGTTATGCTCTGATGTAGCATCATGTACTCTCAAGTTGATTAAATATTTTCTTTTGGAAAGGAGAAATCTTAATCATTGGCAAAAAAGAGATTTTTAAAATATCTTAATCTCACTTCTTTGGTTTCGCATACAGATTAACCAAAACATTTGAAGCCAGACTGACTTAAGTTCCAGGAATATGTATATTCTATTTCTGATTCAGAGGGAAACATGGAACTCATGAAGTTTTTTCTCAAAAGTGTTGAAATGCTTTGGTGGGAGAATCTCTCACAGAGTGTATTTCACCTAGATGGTTCAGGAGGTCTCTTACCGTTAAAGCTTATTAATCATATTATTTAATACTTTCTAATATTAATATATTAGTAATACAGTCATACCTTACTCTTAGAAAATAATTTTTTAAAATTCACATCAAAAATGTGTTGATTATTTATTATACAAGGACTTTTTTGGCAAAAAACAAAGTGTTTTGGGGCCAGCCTCGTGGCCAAGTGGTTAAGTTTGTGCGCTCTGCTTCAGTGGCCCAGGGTCTGTTGGTTCAGATCCTGGGCGCAGATGTATACACTGCTCATTGAGCCATGCTGTGGCGGCATCCCACATAGAAGAACTAGAATGACCTACAACTAGGATATACCACTATGTACTGGGGCTTTGGGGAGACAGAAGGGGGGAAAAAAAAGAGGTAGATTGGCAACAGGTGGTGTTAGTTCAAGGCCAATCTTCCTCACCAAAAAGCATGCCTTAAAAAAAAAAAGTGGGCCAGCCCCGTTGCGCAGCAGTTAAGTACGCAGGTTGTGCTTTGGCAACCAGGGTTCACTGGTTTGGATCCTGGATGTGGACATGGCACGGTGTGGCAAGCCATGCTGTGGTAGGTGTCACACATATCAAGTAGAGGAAGATGTTAGCTCAGGACCAGTCCTCCTCGGGAAAAAGAGGAGGATTGGCAGATGTTAGCTCAGGGCTAATCTTCCTTGAAAAAAATAAAATAAAATAAAAAATTTTTTAAAAAGTAGTTGTTTAAAAACAAAGTTTTTCTGCATATGTTTGATTTAACAAGAAATAATTTATATACATTTGAGAGTTACATGAAGTTATATATGCCTGTAACAAATTTCTTTATCATTTTTTTAATTAGACAAATAATGAAGTTGTTAAATATGGGTAAGCCAATAGAAGAAACTTGAAATAATCAGTAATCCTAGTACCCACAAACAGTTACTTTAGGCATATTCTGTGTGTGTGTGTTTGTGAGTGTGTGTATGTGTTTGTGAGTGTGTGTGTGTAATCATGCTATCTATACAATTTTTTTAAAATGTTTTTATTTATTTTTTATTTTTTAATGAGGAAGATTCACCCTGAGCTAACATCTGTTGCCAATCTTCTGCTTTTTTTTTTTGCTTGAGGAAACTAGCCCTCAGCCAACATCTGTGCCAGTCTTCCTCTGTCTTGTATGTGGGTCGCCGCCACAGCATGGCTGATGAGTGGTATAGGTCAGCTTCTGGGATCCAAACCCATGAATCTGGGCCACTAAAGTGGAGCATGCTGAACTTAACCACTACACCACCAGCCTGGCCCCTATCTGTACCAGTTTGAAACCTACTTTTTTCTATATTAATATCATGAGTAGATTGTAATACATTGTCAATTGCATACATAATTAAATTTATGATTATTTTTACTTAAGAATGATATATAATGTTCTAATTGATTATCTACTTGACCAATATTTTTAATCACATATTTTAAACTCAGAAGGATTATTATTTGTAATAAACTAGACCCTCTCTAAAATGCTTTCCTTTTAGTTTGTGTTGTAAGGCAACCTTATAAATGGGACCAACTTTGGAACTTTTGAAATAATTAATTACCCCTCAACAGGGTACAAGCAAGTCCTACCTTGACAAATTCTGCTTTCTAGTAATTAGAGTTAATAAAAATGCTTTCAGTATATTTTTTGCTTTTAACGGAAATGAAGTGGTTTGATTTATTAATCTCTTGGGTTCCAACTCTAAAATTTGCTTATTTTTCAATGCATGATAGCAAATTACGAAGATTAAAGATTTGGTCCTAAGGACCTAGCTGGCATTTTTTGTGATTGTATTATAGTTGAAAAAACATTGTTACATTTATATTTTGAGTAGGTGATACAATCCCATGATAAAAATTCAAAAACCGCAAAAAGTATAAAGTTAAAAGGCTCCCTCCCACCCTTGTCTCTTTGTCACCCAGTTTCCCCTCAGAGGCCACCAGCACATCATTCTGGAGAGCTGTGTATATATGTCATACATAAGTATTTGTATAAAATATACTGTTTTTTCCATTTTAAGGTATAAATTTGTAATATACTATGCATACAAAGTTCTAAATCTTGCTTTTTGCACTTTATCTGGGTGGAGAATTTACCATATTTCATCAATTCTAAATGCACATTTCCCCCCCCACATTTTAACAGCTCTGGAATTAGGATGCATCTTACAATCAATAGCATCTTAGATTTTATCAAATACAGTAAGTCCATAACGAGTCTCCTTGTTCTTTTTAATGACTGAGTAGTCATTCGTTGTATAGAGTACATTTCCCCATTGATGGACATTAAATTGTTTTCTACCTTTTGCTTTTGACAAACAGCAGTGAAGAGCCTAGAAGCATATCATTGTACACACGTGTGAATTCCTCTGTGGTATAAATTCCTAGAAGTGCAATTATTGGGTCAAAGAATATGTGGTATTTGTATTTTTGATAGATATTAATACATTGCCCTCCATAGAGGTTGTCCCTTCAGCAATGTGTGCAAATGCTTATTTCCCCTATGCATCACAAGCACAATATTATCAAACTTTTTGACATCTGCCACTCTTATGGATTAAAGAGATTTCTTGATGTTTTCTGAATTTGCCTTTTTCTTATTATCAGTGAGATTGGGCATCTGTTAATGTATTTGAGTCACTAGTAGTTCCTCTTCTCTGAACTTTCTGTTAATAGTCTTTGCCCATTTCTCTAACAGATTATAGGCTTTTTTCTTATTGATTTGTAAGAGTATTTTATATATTGAGGAAATCAGTGCTTTGTCTCTGTTTTGGGTTACAGTTATTTTCCCCAGTTTTCCATCTTTGCTCTTGGTGGTTTTTGCCGTGAAGAATTTATGTGCATATGTGTATGTGGAATTGAATTTATCAGTCTTTTCCTCTAATGCTAATGGGTTTAATGTTTTTCTTAGAAAGACCTTCTTCACTCTGACATTATTTAAAAAATCCTCTCAAGATTTTTTTCTAGTGCTTTTATAATGTTTTTTCTTTTTAACTCATATATTTGGTCCATCTAGAACTTATTTTGCTGTAGTATGTTAGGTATAATTTCAACTTTATGTTTTTTTTCTACTGGGCACCTCAGTTGTCCCAGTGCCATTGATTGATTCTCCATCCATACTTATTTTTGTATGTGCTTGTATCTATTTCTGGATTTTCTTATTACTTAAAAATTATTTAAAAAAATTATGTGAGTGTTATACATGAATTCAATCTCATGGTAAAAAAAATTCAATCAATGTTGAAGTAGGTAGTTTTTAAAGAGGGCCCTTTGCTTCTCTTCCTTCCATTTCCTCACACTTTTTCTGAGATAATCATTGTTAACAAATCACTGAGTATTCCATTTAGACCTTTTTCTACTGCTTCTGTGTGTATGTATGTATATATATATCACACGTGTATGTATATGTATATATATGTGTATATATATATCTCACATGTAGTTTGGGGGAATATGGAGATTATCTATACCTACCTATCTATCTGTGTGATTACATTATATGTAATATGCTGTAAACTGCCTTTTCCTCCACTATGTCTATGTCTTAGAGTTCTATGATAGTCCGTCTAGCTCTACCTCATTATTCTTTTTAACATGCATGGATTCCATAGTATGAATGTAAATAGTTGATTTAGCCACTTCCCTATTGTTACACTTCTAGGTGGTTTGGAATTTTTTCCTAATTTTAGCAAGGCTGTATATATAGCTTATGAAATGTGTGGCACTGCTTCTCTTTAATTGGTGGTAAGCCTAATTCTAAAATGTGTATTTATATGATTAAGTTACTCTTGTGTAATTCGTGAGAAAGAAAATCTGGACCACACTGAGTGATATGTTATTAATATTTTGTGATAATCTTGTCTTTCTAGATAAAATTTGATGCTGGGACCCTCCTTCTCAGTACACACCGACTAATTTGGAGAGATCAGAAAAATCATGTAAGACAGAGTTTTTGCATCTGTTCTAGGTTTTAAATCGCTGAAGTTTTTATTCCCTTTCTGGCAAATCTATATGTGGATGCAATAAATTTTCATTTTCAGAATGTCAAAAGAGTGTGACCCATGTGCTCTCTTAATGGAGAGCAGATAGAGGAGTTAGGGTGTTGTCCCTCATTCAGCTCCAGAAAAGTCTGTAGTTACTGAAGAGGGAGTCACGCTGACTCTTGTCTTTTAAACACCAGTCAGATCCTACCCCATACGTGAATGTTCAGTGTGTAATGGGAACAGTTCTCCTATTCGTTGTCAGGGGTCCTTCAAAAAATTCATGCGCTCTCAAAACAGTCTGTTCTCCCTGACTGTTGTTGAGAATGAGGAGGATGCTGCGAAGTGTGTGCTTTTACCTAGATACCAAGAAGAACTGCCTCTAAGTCACTCAGCAAGAGGAGAAACCCCCTTGTTTTTTCATTTCTAGGAAGAGAGAACAGGTTATGTGTATAGAGCTGATATCTTTATTCCACAGAGCTTTAACTTGAAAGTGTGTGTGTGTGTGTAAATTTAAGCGTTGCCGGTAAAATAAGCAGTCTTTTCTACATTATTTTCATAATTCCCTCCCCTTGAAATGTCAATTCCACAAATAAACTATATACTGTACTGAGGCTCTGTGAAAGGCCACTAACCGTTGCAAAAACTGAGATTCTTTTTGCCCCTGAGAAACCAATTTTTGCCCCCTTAGTGGTGCTATTACCCTTGTTGATAATGCATGCCTTGGAACTGTTAATGTCGTCTAATTCTTTTAAAAGAAATATACATTCAGGAAAGAAATCTTTTTTGGAGGGATTGGCATCCTTAATCCATGTGTTTATAAATTAAATAATCTTTGTGTAATTCTTTGATGAGCATATAAAGAGGCTAATTTAGAAATCATTAGACCTATTAAATTAAAAACCAGTCATTTATAATAATTTTCAAAATTCAATGTACTAATAAAGGGAAACTACATGAGTGTTTTCTGTTAAAAATGAATTGTGGGTGGATGAGTGAAGGCTAGAAAATTATAAAGAAGAAAAATCACCCATATGACACATTTCTTAAAGTTGTTTTGATTTACCTGTTCTATTTTTTGTCTTCCATATAAGAATATATTATATGTAAAAAGAATATATTATATGTAAAAAGTTTTCACATAAATACTGCTTTTTAAAAGATGTACCTACTGTAAAAACAAAGGAAGTTACAGCAGCTTTTAAACCTCTTATTTCTTTCATGTAGCAAAATGCCAGTATTGTTTTCATTCAGTTTTTCCTCGTTTATTTAAGGAATAAAATCACATTCTTATTTTTATTATTAGGTATCTTAAAGGTATATGGCACTCTATTAATGCTATAAAACAACGATTTCTGACGAGTCTCCTGAATCGTGTTTTCCATCAATTTCCTCCTAGGAATGCTGCATGGCCATTCTTCTTTCCCAAATTGTATTTATTGAAGAACAGGCAGCTGGAATTGGGAAAAGGTAAGGTCTATATATTACGGACTTTATTCACAAAAATGTTTCCAGTCAAGCTGTTATCACTAACTTAGTTGCTCAATTGCTGTGCTGTGAGTGCACATGTGGGAATGAATCTGTTGATTGTGTTTGGGGGCTTTATAAATAAAAGGAGTTCCCCGTAGATGGTATTTTCCCACCTTAAACTCATTGATGAATGGAAGTCATTTTTTTTTTTGAATTATTTTATTGAGGTCATAATGGTTTATAACATTGAAATTTCGGGTGTACATTATTATTTATCAGTTTTTGTATGGACTGCATTGTGCTCTCCATCAATAGTCCAGTTTTTATCCATGACCATACATATGTACCCCTTTACCCTTTTTGCCCCCTCCTCCCCACCCCCTTCCCCTCTGCTAACCACTTAATCTATTCTCTTTGTCCATGTGTTTGTCTGTCTTCCAACTATGAGTGAAATCACATGATTTTTGTCTTTCTCTGTCTGGCTTAGTTCACTTAATATCATACCCTTGAGGTCCATCCATGTTATTGCAAATGGGATGATTTTGTCTTTTTAAATTGCTAAGTAGTATTCCATTGTATATATATATATATATAACATCTTCTTTATCCATTCATCAGTTGATGGGCCTTTGGGTTGCTGGAAGTCATTCTTTAAAGCATGAATCAAATACTAAGGTTTGCTATAATATCCTTGGGTGATAATAAATGTGGGCCAGCTATCTCTGTATATATTTCCACAAACATTTGCTTTTACATGTCTGTGTATGTATCATTCAGTACTTAAAATCAGAACTGACCTGTCTGAGAAAAATAACTGAGTTTGCTCCTATTTCTAGTTGATCATTAAGTTTCTCAACTTTGACTTTTTCAGGTATTAGTATTAAATAGAGTATCATAATAGTTATTGTCCAAATTGGGCCATTTATAAGAGTACTGGGGGTGCTGTGTACAGTTAGACCAGGGCAAGCATAAAATGGTTCTGTCCCAGGCAGATCAGGAGATGTGCTCCCCCTGGTTTAAAGCTACAGGTTAAAGTCCTTCTGTTTATTCAAGTATATCAAAATTCTGGCTTTATATTTTAAGTATGCATAATTGAGGGCAACTTATGAACAAATACTGCTGATAAGGAATTTTTTTTTTTCCATGTGGGCTGATCTTTAGCTTTAGCTGAGTTAGGTACTTCAGTAGAAGTTAAACAAATGTTGAGCTTCACTGAAAATGCAATGTGTGCCTTAATTATAATGATGTAGCTAGCATAAGAGATTGCTTGGCATAAAAGAAACTAACCAACATTTTGAAAAGTTTAATAAGGCATAGATTTCTAGAGTAGGCTATTTCTCTGATTTATATTTTCCCCCTTGTCACTTTTCTCCATCTTACTAAGTTCTTTTTTTAAATTGAGGTATAATTGGCATACAGCATTATATTAGTTTCAGGTGTACGACATAATTCATTATTTGTATATGTTGCTTTTCTGATTAAGTTCTACAAAGTGAAACTTTAAAAGTGTTCCAGATCATTTGCATTTTCCCCTGCTTTGCCAAGGAAATCTAAACTCTCTAACAAAATTACTTAAAATATTTACCTTCACATTAGTGTCTTATTTTTAAACATCTCCACTGAGGAGGAATTCACTAATGTGGCCACGTTAACTTTTCTCCAGTGTTCTCTTCAGTTCCCAGCTCCTCCCCCCAAACAATTACCGTATCTCATGATTCAAAGGTGTATGCATATTTTAACCTTTTAACATCTCTGAACCCAAGATGCTTCTTGGATTTGGTGAATTTAAAATTGATGAAATATGGTAACTGAATAACTTAAGAAATGAATATATGAAAAAATTGGCCTGGATCTTTTATGCTGACTTTTGGATTTTTAAACTTCATTTTGTATCATTCTCTTTTAGCTTTTCACTGGATTTCCTTTGACAAAATCTGATAGTAGCTCAGGTTTTTTCGTTTTAAAGATTCTGTAATACCTTTGCTCAGTCACTTTATCCTAATTGCCATGGTTTTGTTGTGGTACTTGACAGTGCATTTCAGAGAGTCCTGTGGTTCTGGTTGCACAGTTGCTGTGCTCACTCCACTTAAAGATGTTCACCACAAAGGAACAGATGGAGGAATAGGCCCCAGGTCACTAACCAAGGCACCCGTTCTGTTGAGGAGGCCTCACACATGGTCTGTCAGTTTTACAGTGATGTTTAGGCAACTTATGGGCCTAAACAAAGTAAAATTGAGTAATAGGTGAATCTGTAATGTGGTCAGAAAGAGAAGCTCTAAGCTGGGTATCCAAGATATTTGAGTTTTTGGTTTTGCTCATCTTTATAGAAGATTGTTTACTGAGCAGGCTGGGAAAAAAAGAGGAAAAAAGACTTATAAAACTGAACAAATACAGTGGTATTTTTACTAGCATAGAAGATCACGGTAGTCATAAAGATTGTGGTAGCTTGTATTCCTAGAGTAGGAGTGTTTCGAGAATTATTTTTGCTATTGGATATCTTTCTAGATCATGCTGTTGACTGAGTGATATTTTCCAAAAATGACACTGTAGAATGTTAGTTTTGGATGGAGTTTTAATAAAACGTCAGCTGGTCAGTTTTACCCAGATAAGTTTTCACATTTTGTTTTCAAACAAGTAAAGAAATATGCTCTGCAGAGATGATAGGCCCCCTGGCAACCTCGGGAGATGACTCTGTAGATGGGAAACCCCAATCATAAACCAAAATCGTAAACCACCCCAAATTATGAGAAGTTATTTTGAACTTATTTCCTAAAACCACATTTTTATTAATCTGTAGAGCTAGTAACCTGAACTTTTTGGTTCATAGTTTGTAAGTTTTAAGTAGAGATCGTTTTGTTTTGTTTTGTTTTTTTAAATTTTATTTTTCCTTTTTCTCCCCAAAGCCCCCTAGTACATAGTTGTGTATTTTTAGCAGTGGGTCCTTCTAGTTGTGGCATGTGGGACACTGCCTCATCATGGCCTGATGAGCGGTGTCATGTCCGTGCCCAGGATTTGAACCAGGTAAACCCTGGGCCGCTGCAGTGAAGCACGTGAACTTAACCACTTGGCCACGGGTCCGGCCCCTAAGTAGAGATAGTTTTTAAAGGTTCATTAATAATAAATGAATACAAACTTTAGAAGGATTCCTTTTAGGATGTTCTTTGTTTCTGCCTGAATTTTAAAAGTGATCTGAAATATGTTAAAAGTTATAAAAATAGAGTTAGCGATTTTTAAAGGACAATTAAATACATTACATTCACCCTTTCTTTAGTGCCAAAATAGTGGTTCACCTTCACCCAGCTCCTCCAAACAAAGAACCTGGTCCGTTCCAGAGTAGTAGGAACTCCTACATCAAACTCTCCTTCAAAGAGCATGGCCAGATTGAGGTAAGTTTCTAAAGGGATAAAATTGACCAGAAATGTGTTCTTGTATGTATTTTTGTTATTGTCTGTTAATATGATGGAGGGCAATATTGTACAACACACCAGATTTCACCAGACTTTTACAATAAAATTTTTATGATATCTTAAGCCTTATCAGTGGAGAATATGAAGTTTAGGTTTCAGTGGGAACAGGAAGCAGGAGGGTGTGGTCACAAGGAAGGTGCCGAGGCTGGAAATGTGCTGAGTCATGCCATTGGGCCCCTAGTAAAGTTTTGAGGTGTAGTTTGGTTAAAGGACAGAGTATAATGCAGTGAAATGTTAAACTACCTCAGTATCTGAAAGCTCACCAGCCTTAAATCAGTCAGTCAATCTTGATTAACTCCACACAAATCTGATCACCTAAGTACTTATTCCATAGTATGATAGTTTATATGTCCTGATTAATAAGTTGCTGTGCAAGTATTCTTTACCAATGTGTGTTTATCTCGGCATCGATAGCATTGTTGACAAAAATAATCCATAACCAATCTATAAATGAAAATTTGGGTGAGTTTATTCTGAGCTGAAATCTGAGGATTGTAACCCGGGAGAGTCTTTCCACAAAGGAACAGAGCACTCCAAAGAAGTGGGGATATACACGGTGGTTATATACCCTCAAAGAGTATGTTTCACATATGATTGAAATGTCCCTTTTACAATAGTCACGAGGGTGCTCTGTCAGCACAGCGATTGATGGAAACAGCAGATAGGTCTGCTCTCTCAGTGAACCCTGCAGGGTGGCAGGTCTGTTGCCTCGAGCTGGGCAGTCACAGATGAGCGCTGCAGTCAGTTCCCAGCCTAAAGAAAGATGCTTAATCTTTAAGGAGATGCCAACGTTGGGGGGGGGGAGGGAAGTTGCTCCTTTATCTCAAAATGTCTAAGCAGATATACAATGTGTGCTCAATGGCCAGTCAGGCCCTTTTGGAAAAAAAAAAACGAAGTCAGGCCGAATTAGGTTTATACCAAATGGCTTCCTCATATACTCCAATATATCCTATTGCTTGCCATTTCAATTTGTCAGCATCAATTACTTAAGCTCTTTTTTTCTTTTACAGCACCTCACCCAGGGCTCCTCTCACAGTAGGCACTAAGAAAATATAAGTGACTAACTGAAGTCATTCTCACCCTAGTAGAAAAATATCATTGATTTTTTTGTGAGCATAGGCATTTTTGGCCCCAATTTCTGGCTTCACATTTTAACTAGACAGATTATTTTCTGCTTCCTTGATGGATAATAGTTGTATATTTTTCTTGGCACTGTGCCTGTTTTGCTATAGATTGAAAACAATCCACATATGCAGGATTGTTTAAAGTAAGGCTGTTTATTTCATTGTCACTCATCTCTTTGTTGAGAATAGCGCACATTCTATAGAAGGTCAGTTCCTTTTTTTTTCCTTTTGTACTTTCTGAAGTTGATCCAAGAAAAGAACTTCCTTTGATTTCTTTTGATGTCTCTGAGAATTCTAGGCTTGTTGGAAGTGACTGAACAGGCCTTTCAACTAAAGAAATGTTAAGTAATAATTTGTATGAGGATGTCACAGCCTGACTGACTCATTTCAAGTGTATGTATGTGCATAACAGTTTTACAGGCGTTTATCAGAAGAAATGACCCAGAGAAGATGGGAGAATATGCCAGTTTCCCAGTCATTACAAACAAATAGAGGACCCCAGGTATTTGGAAAGCTGTTTTTTAGTTCAGTATTTTCAGCCTTGTACTTGCATCATTAAGGGAAAAGATTTCTGTGGTTATAAAACTTGCCAGAAAGAAAATAATGAGATACTGACTAAAAATGTATTTTCTCAGAACCTAATTAGTGCTCTGTAGACAGTAAATACTTAGTAAAAATAAATGACTGCTTACTGGAGTGATTCTTGGGGTGGTGGAAGTTAGAGTCTACTCACTGCGTTCTGTTATATATTCGTTGTGGCATCTGAGGAAACAGTACCACTGGGTGTCGTTTCCCAGGCCAGTCTAAATTAACCACCAGCTGTAGGCAGACATTCAAGTGTGGAAAAGTAGCTTGTATAATTAACTGTCAAGCACCAAAATTTTAACTACAATTTTTTGCACATTATTACATGTTATACATAATAGCTTGCCAAAGGACAAAAATGAATAGGAAATTAAATTTATATCTAAAATGCACAGTAAAAATATGCCATTTATTGTATGTTCAGTTTTTCTTTATAATAATTTGAAGAGCATTATGTTATGGCAAGAAACCAACAAATGTTTTGAAAGGAAACTGTATTTGTATGCTGTTTTTCTTTGGTTCTTTGTGCGTCCTTTCCCGCCATTGAAAACACAATGTGGCGGGTTATAAAAGATCGTGTCCTTCCTATTTTGTATGTTTTATTTTCTACTTTTGTTTTTCAGCCAGGAAGAATAAGAGCTGTAGGAATTGTAGGTATTGAAAGGAAACTGGAAGAAAAAAGAAAAGAAACTGACAAAAACATTTCTGAGGTAACTCTTACACAAGTTCTGGTCAGCTGTCTTTTTCAGCCATTTGTATTTATCTTTTTGGATACAGCTTTGACTAAGTCCATTCTGTGTACTGGCATGTATTTAGTTTGCCTAAAGCCACATAGTCTCTTATTCCATTTAACAGATCTATTTCAGGTTGGTGTAATTTAGCCAAAACGTGTTTTAAAAATCTTTTCCAAAAATCTTTTAAAAAAGAAATGCAAATTTGTTTTCTGTGATGTTAGAAAACATTGTGGATTGCTGTCTGTAAATTTTAAAGTCTAGATGGAGTATTGGAAGATACTCCTGATAAATTCAGGGTCCTCTTTAAAATTTATTCTGGATGTTTGGTTAACTTGGTCGAGGGAAATTGCTGTTCTGTGGCCCTTGATCCTGGCTGGACACCACACTGTTTTATGCTGATGACCGCTCAGGGACCAGAAGCAGAGACAGTAAGAATGGCTCAAACCAGGCCATCACTTCCACAGGAGAACGACTCTGAGCATGTGACAATACAGTGTTTCTGAAGCTTCCTCATATATGAGGAAATTCAAGTGAAGGGGAAAGAACTCTAGTTGAGAAAACCAGTTATGCGTTAGATTCCGCAGTTAGTTAATATATCTAAACATATTTGTTTTCCCGTGTTTATATAACAGTGGTCTTAGGTTTTTATAAAATTATAGTATGAAGTAATTCTTCAGTTTTTATGATAGTTTTTAAGTAAAATTCAGTTGATTAGTGCTGTTCATAGAATTTCAGAGATGTAATCAATCAAAGTCAAAACTGCAAATAGTTACTGAAAACTTGTATTAGTCAAGTTTCTCCGGAGAAACAGAACCAATAGGAGATAGATAGAGATATCGATCTCTTTCTAGATACAGCTATATCTCTATATTTATATCTCTCTCTATATGTACACATGAGATTTATTATAGGGAGTTGGCTCATGTGATTGTGGGGACTGAGAAGTCCCACAATCTGCCATCTGCAAGCTGGTGACCCAGGAAAGCTAGTGATGTAAATTCTAATCTGAGTCCGAAGGCCTGAGAACGAGGAGCGCTGATGGCGTTAAGTCCCAGTCCAAGGGCAGGAGAAGACTGATGTCTCAGCTCGAAGCCATCAGGCAGAGGAAGAAGGCGTTCTCCCCTCCTCCAGCTTTTTATTCCTTCAGGCCCTCAGCAGACTGGATGAGACCAACAAACATAGAGGGTGGCGATCTGCTTTACTCAGTCTGCTGATTCAAATGCTAACCTCATGTGGAAACACCCTCACGGACACACTCAGGATAATGTTTGATTAAGACCTGGGTGCCCTAGGATCTAGTCATGTTGACACATAAAATGAACCATCATAGTACCTATTCTGGGCCCACTAATTGAAAATACAGATTATTGTTGAGGAACAAAGGGTATTTGAAGTGCCCGTGGTCTAGGGTTGCTGATCGCATATTTATGGTAAAGTTGTACGTGTTCCTTAGCCCTGTGAATTTCCTGCAAATTGGCAGCTGGATCCAGAGGCTTGATCAGATTCAGGAGGTACATCATGTCTTTGTTTATGATGTTGGCAGCTGTTAATGTTCAGTGCATAGATCTCTTGGTTCATTTGTGGTTGCAATTGGTGATATTTTATGATTTATTTTTCATTTATTGGAATGCTTTTTAAAGAGATGCTTCCCTTCACTATTTGGCTACTCAGTGATACAGTGCATGCGGGGAAGACAGGATGAGTGCTTTTTCCTTTACCATCAGGATGATAAATTGTTCTTTGTCATCCTCCAAAGGTGACTAATTAGATTTTTTCCGTATATTATTATGAATTTGTAAATTTTAACATATTTGATGGGTTTCAACCAATTGCAGTTATCCTCTTTTAAGCACAAATTGTCCCATCTTTGGCCAGTGGGAGCCTCTTCAAGTTGGCTCCTGAGTGCTTTCCATGTGATGTGGTGGACTTTGATAGCTTCCTCAATATCTGGTGTGACAAAAGTCCCAGGACCGTCTTGTACATTTCCTGCCCCAGATCTGTAATCTGAGAAGCTGTGGTTTCTTTTAGTAGGAAATAGTATTTCAGAACCACAGTCTGCCTGCCGGGCATATGCATCTCTATTGGGTTGATCTTCATTTCTAGGCCTTTTCAGTGGAAGCAGGATTTTTTCTTTGTTTGTTTAAATATAAGTGGGTCACGAGGTCATACTGATACTTCCTTTCAAATTTAGGACTTGCTATCAAATAATTACTAAAACATTTAAAAAGAATTTTTTATGTATATTCTCTCCATTCTTCCCGCCTTTTAAAAATAGGTGTGTTGTATCTATATCGTCTGAGCATTCAAGCACTACAGACACTTGCCCTTTGGCGCTCAGCAGTCTCAGCTTTCTAAGTAACTGCATGTGTGAAATCGCCAGTCCGTATGGTGACCTCCTCTATTCTTTTTGGTCGTCTGAAGCTCATCTTCTAGTAGATTTTTCAGAAAGTGCTCATGGGAACAGTGTTCCCTGAGTTCTGGCTTGTTTGTGTTCCATACACATGAAGGTCAGTTTCTGTGGATTTAAAATCCTTGGCTTATATTTTCTTTGCTCGAGTGCCTTCAATATGTTACTTTCAATTTTTTGTCTGGCATGAAGTGTTGCTGCCAAAGAGTGATGATAATCTAATTTTTCTCCCCTTAAAACTCACTTGCTATTTTTCTTAGATGCCCAAATGTTGTTTTTCTTTTCTTATAAAGCCCAGTAATTTTACAGGAATGTGTCTATTTTTTAGTTATTCTAGGTTGTTATTCTCAGGTACACAATGTGCTTCAACATTTAGTTTCATAAATTTTTTCTTTTAATTTCAGGGAAGTTTTTCTATATTATCATTTTCAATAGCTGCTCTGATGTTTTCTCCTGAGACTCCTATTAGCTGTATGTTGCCTGTCTTCACTGTTTGTGACTTTCTTTCAACCCCTTTTTGTCTCTTTCTTCATTTCTTTTCTATTTAGAAAATTTTCCTCTTTTTCACTTGTTTTTCTTAAGATATTATCTGTTGTGTTTATTCAGTCTTGTGTTCTTTCTAGTGTAGTCTTTATTTCGGAAATGATTTTTTAAAAAATTCTTTCCTGAATCTTGTCACCTCGTTTCTGATTTATATTGCCCTTTCACAGCTTGTGTCATTTTATTAACATCTGTCAGCTCATCATGAAATAGAAGGTTAAATTTTGATCTGATCCGTGAGCATAGCTTTCTGGTATGCTTTCATTGTACTGCCATTCTGCTCCTTATTTTCTTTTTTCCTATAATAATTCTGTGTGGGATTTGACCATGCTACTTTGCTGTTGCTAATTTTCATATGAGATTAGTTTTCCTGACCTTTTAGAGGAGGATCTAGTTCAGGGTAGCTTTTCTTCTTCCAGGGAGCTCACTCTCTGCTGTGTTCATGCTGTGTTCCAAAAGGGGGCAGCTTGTTTTCTCTGCTTCCCTGACCCTGTTCCCATCCTCTGCTTCTATCTGGACCTTTTTTCCCTTTCTCTCGATTATCCCGCCCTTGCTCAGTTTCTGATTCCTCTCTCAGTAGTTTCTCCCCACTGGGGGTGGCTGTCCCGGAGGGTCAGTTTCCAGAGTTCATAGGCAGCTTCAGTCCTTCTGAGGACCCCTTGGACCACCCACTACTGAAGTGGGCAGAACCCTCCCAATTTTAGTTGCTGTTCTCAGATTGGCCCGACTCACCTTCCCCTGACTTCCTGTTGGCTCTTTTGGGGCTCTCTTCTCACACTTACCAGTCACCCTGTTGCTTCCCTTTTCCTTCTCTGGCCTAGATGCTGATGTCTTGCAGGTCTTGTGCTGTTGGTGGTTTGTCCCCACCTGCTTGTATCTTGGGGTTTTTGTAGATATCTTGTCCCTTACTTTTGTCGTATATGCTGCCTGTGGGTTTTTGGTTTTGAAATCTAGTTGATCTCTATGTTTTTATGTTGGGATTTGGAGAGATTCAAAAACTATGCTGCCACAGCCACCATCTTCCCAGAATCCTGGATTCTTACTATCCAGAGAAATAATCATCTCAGAGCTTGTGACTAGATTTGGAACCAGGGTTATGAGAACTCAGGCCTCCTGATTTGCAGGCAAGTGTAGTCTGCTACATCATGGCCACTCTCTTTGCCACCCAGAAGGTGCTATCACTGTCTTCTTTCAGTGACTTTTGTTGTCATCCTTTTTTTGTGACACTTTTGGAGATGGCATGTATCAGTGAACTAATTTTGCACATTACATGAGCCATGCATCAGGTGTTTTGGATAGTGTGGTGATGAGCCAGACAGGCAGGCAAACAGGCATGCCCTTCGTGTGAGAAACACTGTGTTAGGAGAAAATCATGGCCATAATAGGAACACATAACATGACCCCTAACCTCAGAGTCAGAGAAGGCTTTTGGTAGAAGTGATGGAAGTCAAGGCCTCACAGATGAGCAGATGCTAGTGGATGACCATAGGATAAGAGGATCTAGGTGGAGGGAACAGAGTATACAAAGGCACGGAATCGAAAATATTGAAACAGAATTCAAGAATATATTAGTCGTTATTGAAACTAATAACCAAAGTAATGACTGAAAGTCAGTCAGAATTAATGCTATAAATCAGCTTAAGAGGTACCCCATGGTTTTAAAGCACGTGCATTTTTCTCAAAATTGGAGTGGAAATTTGACTGCGGATGTGGTAGAGGGATAGCAGGTTTTCTAAACTGGCAGATAAAATGATAGAATGGGTATTGCTTTAATTTTTATTGTAGGTGGTTTCTCCACCCATGTTTTGGATAGTTGGCTAATTCCAAATTTTAGAATAATAGAAATAGAAATGAGGAAGCTTTTATTTGTGTTTTATAATTACTTAAAATATTTTATAGGTAATTCTTCTAAGGCACTAAAGTATATTTTTTACTGACTATAAGCAGTGAGGGCTAATTTATAAGTCTGTGTGGACTTACTTTTAGCTTATTTTTCTGTGAAAATATGAAACAGTAAATAAAGTTATTTACTATATACAATTTTAAAAGTGTTGTCTTACAAGCTTTCTTTACATAGGTAAAAAAATACAATATTTTTTATATTCAAAGTAAAGATCTAAGTGTATAAAGTGTTTGTGTGTTTTATTTTTGAGAACTAGGTCGGTGTGTGATTTGCCCTCCATTTAAATGTTAGAATTGACTTAGTTTCAGAGCTGGTGCCCAGAGTTTCCCACAAAACGCTTCCTGCATCTGCTGCCTGTTGCTGATAAGAATCCTGTGTTTAAGCCTTTTGTTTATCTGAGGAAATTCCTGTTAGGTGTGTGCACATTCCCCTTTGTTTTCAGTACGAGCCTCACTGAGTCGGCCATAAGAGTCTTACACAACACTCTATTCTTCTAGCAAAGTCCTTTTGCAGATGGGGGATACTTCCCTGCGTGTAATAAAGATGGGCATGAGCTAATCAGAGCCTCTTGGCCACTATTCTACGTGGACTGAAAAATTTTTCAATTAGTGATAAGTTGCAGAGTTGGTTTTACAAAATAACATCTGTGTGCATGTCTGTTAGACATAAGATATTCTGCACTAGAAGTATATTGTTGGTAACTTAAAGTAATTTATTATAAATGTGTCTGGTTGAGTTTGAAGAGGCCTTTGAAGTGGATATTCAGTGAAGTAAATTAGCAGTTGATGGGTTTCATTTAGATACATTTTGGTGGTATTTGAGTGTTTTTGTGATATCTGCTGTAGCCAAAGCTACAGGTTTAACGTGTTCACCATTCAGAGGCTGAGGTTTCAGTAAGTCACACCTGCTATTAAAGTCAAAACTGTCATGCACAGAGTGCTCCTGCAGCCACACGTGGCCGTTCTCAGCCACGGAAGCTTACGACGCTTTGGTTCTTGCCCTCCCATTGAGAAAAACTGAAAAATTTTCTTACTTGTGTCAAAGAACAATAAATAATATTTTCTGAACTATTAGTTATGTCACCTTTTATTTGTTTAATCACTGTTTTCTCTTTGAAAATTTGTATTTTACAGTTTGTTTTGGAAAATTTATGTTTTCTTAGCTAAATTGAATTCTTAGAATAAGGTAGATTTATTATTCGTAGACATATTTATATAAATAAATTGATATTTAGAAAATTTGATAAATTTTTATCATAGGGAAGAAAATAGTGTTTCATTACTTTAAAACATTTTAGTTCTTTAGCCAGATTCCAACAAAGACTCATTTCTCATTTCAGGCCTTTGAAGACCTCAGCAAGCTGATGGTGAAGGTATATGTCGTTTACACCCATTGGATTCATACCAATTATGATACAGTTTGGAAAATGTATTTCGTTAGCAGACATTTTGGGGACGTGATTTCTGTCTTATTGTTCTTTTGACAGGCTAAGGAAATGGTGGAATTATCAAAATCAATTGCTAATAAGATTAAAGACAAGCAAGGTGACATCACAGAAGATGAGGTAAATAGGTTGCTTTTTAAGGCATTGGAAACTGGGTTACACAAGTAACACAGTGATGTGGTGGTGGTTTACCAGTTTGCTTTCTTAATGTAGTGGTTTATTTCTTTTAGCACTTGAGGATATATGAAAGTGCTAAAGAAAAAGTGAACCGTAAAAACTTTGTTAGTTCTAGTAAGATTAAAGGATATTTCGATATCTTTTCCTGGGGTGTGCAAAACAGAGAGAGTGAAATGTATAAGGAGTGGCTTTTTTATACACATCTGTAATTTTGATATCTGTTTCATTAAATTTGTCTACAATCTGCTCACAGCCATTTTCCTTTTTAAGTTTTTGGTTGTATCATTTGGTTGGCATTAAATATAGCATAGTTGTTATCTGAATCTCCTCTTGCACCCAGCTTGTGAGGTAAATGGAGCATGAGATATCAAGATAGGAGAAGGAAGAAAAGTAATCAGATTTATGCAGGGAACTGCTAGAAGTTCACTTTCATATAGTTCACAGTATAGAAACACAGTAGAGGAAATGGGTAGATATGGAAATAATTGAGTAGAATTGAATTGATGATGGAAGGATTTCAAATGTTGGAGTACAGAGACTAATTCTGCATAGCCTTTTTGTGCATTTTCTCCTCTCATTATAGACCATCAGGTTTAAATCCTATTTGCTGAGCATGGGAATAGCTAACCCAGTTACCAGGGAAACCTACGGCTCGGGCACGCAGTACCACATGCAGCTGGCCAAACAGCTGGCCGGAATATTGCAGGCGCCTTTAGAGGTAAAAACAAAACCTAAATGGTCTTTTTAAATTGTGTTGAATTACTTCCATGTCATCAGAAATGGTAACAAGAGCACAACCCTTTCATGATGTGATTACTATTCCACTAATGTGTTATTTTTTCTTTCAAAAATAATAAATTAGTTCTGTGTATTTATTAATGAATTCTTTGTCAATCTTCTAAGTTGTTTTCAATTTCCATTTCGGATATATATAACTTTCTAAATCTATTTGATATGAAGCTTTTGTCTCTTACTTTCAAAAGGAAATATATGATCTCTGTGTATTTAGATATATTCCCATATATCTAGTGTTAATATATAGTTTACTATTAATTATTTCATAATACAGACTCATCTTCTAGTCAGCGTTATTAAGGCGATCAAAACTTTATTAAAGCACTTATGTTAAGAAATATTTCAAACATATGATAAAATAGATAGTATGATGAATCCCTTTGTGCCCGACATCCAGCTTCATCTGTAAGCCGACTTCCACTCAAAATTATTTTAAAGCAAATCCCAGACATCACATCACCTAAACTGTAAATATTTCAGTGTGTAATTATAATGCATTGCAATTGGTTGATTTCTCTCTCAAGTTTTTTTTTTTTTTTTTTTTTTAATTCCATGGGTTGCCCTGTCTCCCGTTTCTTCCCCCCCCACACACACAATTTACTGGTTGAAGAAACTAGTAGGTTTATCCTACAGAGTGTCTCAGAGTCTGGATTTTGCCAACTTGCACGTTAACATGCTTCCCTGCCCTGTGTATTCCCTGTAAACTGGTAGTTATATCTAGAAGCTCTTTTTTTTCCCTGACAAGAGTATTTTATAGAGGGTATTGTGTATTTCCATCAGGAGGTACATAACGTCTGAGCGTCTTTTTTTGTGATGTTGGCAGCCATTGGTAGTCATTATGGAGATCTGTTACTTTATTAGGGTTTGTAAAATGGTGATATTCCTATTTAATTCTATGATTTTTTTCATTTATTAGTTGGAATAACTTGAAACATTTAAATACACTTTCTGAAACATGAAAGAAGAGAGCCCCTTTTTTCATTGAGTAAATGTTAAAACAGTAATAATGACAAGTCCAAGTATTGAATTTGAATTGCCTCAGGGTATCTGAACAGGTCTTCCTGTTTGTAAATACAGTTTTTAAAAGCTTCTTAAGAAATTTTATGATTTCTGATTTCACACTGATTATGATTTCTGTTAAATGCCAACTGGTGCTAAGTGTAACGTAATACTTCTTTTGTTTCATTTTTAACAGGAACGAGGAGGAATAATGTCACTCACAGAGGTATACTGTTTAGTAAACCGAGCTCGAGGAATGGAAGTAAGAATAGAATATTTAGATATTCTTTTAACTAATTATAGACTTTCTTAATATAGTACAAATTCCCCTATAGTGAATAGAATTTGAGGAAGGGTTGTGAATATCAAAACTATTTGGAGAAGCGGTGTGGTGCAGTGAATAGAATACTGCCCTGGGGTCTAGGAGGTAGATTCTGTTCCTGGTTTTGTCAGTGATTTGCTGAGTGACCTTGAGTAGCTTACTTAACCTCTCTGGACTCAGGTTTTCTACCTTTAAAATAAGGGTTTGGACGCACAGATACCTTTCAGCTCTAATGTTCTGTGTTCGTATTGTTGTGATTAATAAGGTTGAGTGTGATGCCCCTTCTCTGTGATAGTTACCTGTTTGAATTAACTGGGTTGGATACCAATTGCCTGTAAATGATACAGAAAAAGCTGCCCCGCTTCTTTGGCTCTGAATCTGCAGCCGCTGTTCAACTCTCATTGTCCCTTCACACCCAGATGTCCTTGGCCTCCAGGGTTCTCGCCTTGTGCCCTCTAAATCAGTTTTGTGGTGTCAGCTCCATGCAAATGACCCACACCTGTCTCTCCAGCATTCAGCCCGCCCCATGAGCTAAGCCTCTGCTCTGTTCTTATTTCAATAGTCATCATAACTGCCATCAGTGAGTGTTCACCATCCGCCAGGCACTCTGCAAGGGTTCCCTCATCTAGCCTCCCAAAACTCAGTGAGGGGCCTACTTTTACTGTCCCTGTCTGGGGGATAATTTGGGGAAGAGGAAATTGAAGCTTAGAAAGATTAAATAATTTGACCATGGCAAATTATTTGGACCCAGGCTGGGCTGGCTCTGGAGCCATTCTTTGTGACTCAGAGCTGTGCTTGTCAGCCACCACATGGGCTGAGTCTTTAAGGCCATGTGGTTCAGAAGGGTAGCGCTAGCTAGCCACGTGTGGCCACTGCGAACTTGAAGTGTAGTTAATGTAAACTGAGAGGTGCTGTAAGTGTAAATTATACATTGACTTTACAAGATTTAGTACAGAATAAAGATTCTTAAATATCTCATTAGTAATTTTTGTATTGATAATGTGTTGAATTTTTGGACCTATTGGGTTAAATAAAAGTACGTATTAAAACTAATTTCACCTGTTTCCTTTTATTTTTTTAATGTGGCTACTAGAAAATTAAAAATTACATTTATGACTTGCATTTTTTTCTGTTGGATAGCACTGCTTTAATGAGTAGAAGTCTGCTTCTTTGTTAATCCTTTTTGCCTTGTAGTGATTAAGCTACCTAAAATCCTTGATAAATGATGTTTTAAGTTTGCTCTTCTGTTTCAGTGTCATTATAATTATATAGCATCACTCTATTAATTTTCAGTGTAAACTGGATTTGTTTCCCCATTAGTTGCTCTCGCCAGAAGATTTAGTGAATGCGTGCAAGATGCTGGAAGCGCTGAAATTACCTCTCAGGTAAAAGGTCCTCCGCGGGGCCTTGCTGGCTGTAGTCGCTACTCCTCACAGAGTGGACAGGCAAGCCCTGCCAGGTGCCGTCCTGCAGGGCCAGCCACCATATCGCCCCTCTTGAAATTACATTCCGTGTGAACAGAATTCACTGGGCCCACAAGCATCTCTGTCATTCTGGCCTCCATCCTTAGGGCTGGGCGTGGCCTGCGGGTGCTAGTAGTCTGATGGCTGTGGATTGAGGGCAGTGAGAGTAGAATGTAGGCACCTCCCATGAGGCCAGAGTAACCAGCGCCTCCTCCCCTAGACATTTTGCGTTAGTTTCTGGAAGCTTAGAAGTGCAAATATTGAGCTGTGAATTATATTTTCCTTATCCTCAGTTAAAAAAAAGTAGCCATACGTATTTCTGGATTATAGAAAAGCCTCTGGATTATAGTTCATAATTTTATTACCTGTTTATTCATGAGCTTTTTAGTTATGCCATGGTTGCTTGTGGTCGTTATGTTTTAAAGGTTATTTTGTGTTATTCTTCCCCTCATACCTGGGCATAAAAGATATCAAGAAATACTTGCGCCTCCTCAGGGGTTGAAAATCCCGGATATTCATGGCTTTGTTCTCCCATCTGCGATTTGTAGGCTCCGAGTTTTCGACAGCGGCGTCATGGTAATTGAGCTTCAGCCCACAAGGAAGAGGAAATGGTGGCCTCAGCCTTGGAGACAGTATGTGAACCCGGCTTCCTCTGGTTATTAGGGCTTGCTACCAAGACGCGATGCTTAGCAACTCGAGAAACAGGATTTCCTTTTGGGTTTAACTTTACTAAAAAGTAACATTTGAAGACCCAATTAAAAACAGTTTATCATTAATGAATAAATAGTAATCAAAATTATACTTTGAAAGCTTTTTGAAACTTCCGATACTCGTAACGTCTTGTAAGTAAGGAGATAGAATTAGTGAGGCGTTCTCTTTTCATTTGATGCCCAGTGTTGAGAACAGGTTCTTAACTCTGTTAATCAGAATGTTACCCATGACTGAACTTTTTCTTTCAGTAACACCCACATAAGCAGCATTATAAAACATCACAAGTTGTTTTGTGAAATAATTGCTTCAAAAAATATGAAAAGCAACTGTAGTTTAGATGGCTTTTGCTGGCCAAACTGCTAATATTACTCATTAGGATATTTGAAATATTACTGCCTTCATAGCCTCTGCGGCGAGCCTGTATAATTTGAATAACTCATATTTATTATGCTTCTAATTTTAAGCTAGATGAAAATCCCAAGACTATAGATATTTCTACCACATATTTTAAACTACATCTGTAGATAAGGGTCCTCAGTGGAGCGTGTAATATGCACTCAATTAGAATTTGTCGTATGTTCCTTCTTAGAATAGCAAATAGTTCTTTTTAAGCTTTACCGCAGTGCCTTTGTACTTCCGCACTGTTTTACTATGCACTTCGTGATATTTTAACCTCTTCTCTGTTTGTTCTGGCTCCTTCAGCTTTTGCAGAATTAAACATTAGTGAAGAAGAGGTAGTTCTGTAGTGGATATTCTTACATTTAGTAGGAAATTCAGTCCGTTATTCCCGAGTATACTGGTGGACGCTCTCCTTAGGTTGGCGCCTAGACGGTCTACACCATCACATTTTTCTGCTCTGTGTTTCTGTTAGGTTTCAGAAAAGGGATCCCTAACGTCAGAAGAGTTTGCCAAGCTCGTAGGAATGTCTGTCCTCCTGGCCAAAGAACGGTACGTAAGGTCCTTGCTCTTCATTACACCTTGTAGTTTGTGTTTCTGAACAGACACATGATTGTGGCTTTTCCTCTTGATTTCTAGGTTGCTTCTTGCAGAGAAGATGGGCCATCTTTGCCGAGATGATTCCGTGGAAGGCTTGCGATTTTACCCAAATTTATTTATGACACAGAGCTAAGGGTTTTGTATTTGAAATACTTCTTGTCCGTATCTTTGCGTCATGTAGAGGTTGTCTGACATTGAGCTCAGAGTAAACCCTGATAAACTGAGCATTTACAGGAACTTTGCAGTATAATATAAAACCCTTTTAATTTCTCCCTAAATATAATGGTCCAGGAAGGTTATTTAGGATAAATATAGGAAAATACAGAAAAATGAATGACAATGAGAATTTGAAATCATGCTACAGTTGTAAAGAACCCTCAGAGTTGAACTTGAAATATGGTAGATTTTCACTCAGTCCTCAAATCTGACTATTTTTTAAGGAAAGGAATTTAGTTCATGGGGGAAGAAAAGGAGAAGTTGCATGTTTGGACAGGTTAGAGTGTTATTTTGGTGTGAGAAAAATTCACTGAATTATAAATAAGGTTTTTTCCTGTATGTAATGTGCCCATTTTGGGGGGTTTTCATGAAGCAAGTCATATGTACGGTGTCGTCTAAAAACCTGACAACATTGGAACAAATATCAAACTGCGGAATGCTGTCAGCAGCTCCTCCTAAGGGCTTTTCTTTGGAAGCAGCCATACGCATGTCTGCAGCAGACCAAATAAAGCACTTAAAAAGGGAGAGAATTTTATTTGTCTTACGTATATATAATCTGAGTAGTTTCTTTCTTTCTTTTTTTTAAGTGATGATTTCATAGCTGGCATTTAAAGAATGCAACTATGTCATTTTGTTTAAAAAGTACTGTGGATTTTGAAACTGAATTAAAGAGCTGTGTAGACATGCCCAGAGATAAGATTACAAATTTGGGAAGCAGACTAAGGCTCAGGAATTCCCTAGGATTGTTGTGCAGGGGAGGGGCTGGGAGAAGCTTGAACTAGCTTAACAGAAACCTTGGTGCTCTTTGACCTCGAAGCCAAGGACAGGAACATAGACAGTGGAAAAGTAAAATGTCTCCTTTTCCTTCCCTTAAGGAGTTTCAACATTGAACTTTTAAAAATATTTCTATCACATTCTAGCAATATTTTTTTTCTTTACCTCACACATCATAAGTTGTGTGGAGAAACTATCTCGCCAAACAGTATTACTGAGGTAACAAAAACTGGCCGATGTTGAATTTAGATTGCTTGAGTTTTAAAGTGGACTTGCCTGCCTTCATATGTTACTGTGGTACAGCATACAGTATGTCGGCATTACCTCAAACTCAGGGACCCCACGGGGACGAGAACACCCTCTTCCTGAGACTGAGTTGGAAATGGAAGGTAGCTCTAGTTTTTGACCAAGTCTCTGGAAGGGATAGTATCTGTATCGAGAGAACGGTTGAGACCAGGAGGAGGGGATACCCAGGAGCACACTCTGGGGTCCCTAAGACGTTCTCACTGAGTGAGGTGGAGGGCCACTGCCTGAGGCTACTGCAGATGCCCTTTGGGGACCCTTTGCCTTTGCAGGAACCCTCGGCCGCAGACCCAGGGAATCCCTCCCAGTGCAGGCAGAGTCTGTCCCTGATCCCTGCCTGAAGAGTGGCTGTCACTGCTTTGCGTCCTCCAGTGTCATGGGAATGTTGTGGCTGAGGCATCCTGCCTTACTTAGTCTTTGTTCTCCAAATCTGTCACTGATTCTATATTGTGATGACAGATCCCCGAATTCCCCCATTGCTCAGCTTCAGGTTTGTTTTTGGGAAAGTCAGTGTCGGCTGCCCAAATCTTTTGGGTCCTTGTATAAGCCTGTTTATGTCACTCCCTTCTGAGTTGTACTCTCTCTCACTGCTCTGGCATACTTGCACGTGCACATGCACGCACACATACACACATGATATCTGGCTACGGCTTGTAAAAATTACAAAGATAAATAATCTGTTTCACCACTTAATGAGTTGCACCTAAGGTTCTTTGGGCTCCTGGATCTAGCTCTCATGGTTCGGATTCATTACAGCAAACTCCCATTGTTCACCATATTGATTTACAGTAGTGTGACAACATTAACAAACATGGCGCAACCTGAATTGTATAAGGCGAACTAAAGAAGAAAAGTGACATATGAATATATTTTGCAAATGTCACATTAGCAGCATTTCCATCAGGAGGTGCATAACGTCTGAGCGTCTTTTTTTGTGATGTTGGCAGCCATTGGTAGTCATTATGGAGATCAGTTACTTTATTAGGGGTTGTAAAATGGTGATATTCCTATTTAATTCTATGATTTTTTTCATTTATTAGTTGGAATAACTTGAAACATTTAAATACACTTTCTGAAACATGAAAGAAGAGAGCCCCATTTTTCGTTGAGTAAATGTTAAAACAGTAATAATGACAAGTCCAAGTATTGAATTTGAATTGCCTCAGGGTATCTGAACAGGTCTTCCTGTTTGTAAATACAGTTTCTAAAAGCTTCTTAAGAAATTTTATGATTTCTGATTTCACTCTGATTGTGACTTCTGTTAAATGCCAACTGGTGCTAAGTGTAACGTAATACTTCTTTTGCTTCATTTTTAACAGGAATGAGGAGGAATAATGTCACTCACAGAGGTATACTGTTTAGTAAACCGAGCTCGAGGAATGGAAGTAAGAATAGAATATTTAGATATTCTTTTAACTAATTATAGACTTTCTTAATATAGTACAAATTCCCCTATAGTGAATAGAATTTGAGGAAGGGTTGTGAATATCAAAACTATTTGGAGAAGCAGTGTGGTGCAGTGAATAGAATACTGCCCTGGGGTCTAGGAGGTAGATTCTGTTCCTGGTTTTGCCAGTGATTTGCTGAGTGACCTTGAGTAGCTTACTTAACCTCTCTGGACTCAGGTTTTCTACCTTTAAAATAAGGGTTTGGACGCACAGATACCTTTCAGCTCTAATGTTCTGTGTTTGTGTTGTTGTGATTAATAAGGTTGAGTGTGATGCCCCTTCTCTGTGATAGTTACCTGTTTGAATTAACTGGGTTGGATACCAATTGCCTGTAAATGATACAGAAAAAGCTGCCCCGCTTCTTTGGCTCTGAATCTGCAGCCGCTGTTCAACTCTCATTGTCCCTTCACACCCAGATGTCCTTGGCCTCCAGGGTTCTCGCCTTTGTGCCCTCTAAATCAGTTTTGTGGTGTCAGCTCCATGCAAATGACCCACACCTGTCTCTCCAGCATTCAGCCCGCCCCATGAGCTAAGCCTCTGCTCTGTTCTTATTTCAATAGTCATCATAACTGCCATCAGTGAGTGTTCACCATCCGCCAGGCACTCTGCAAGGTTCCCTCATCTAGCCTCCCAAAACTCAGTGAGGGGCCTACTTTTACTGTCCCTGTCTGGGGGATAATTTGGGGAAGAGGAAATTGAAGCTTAGAAAGATTAAATAATTTGACCATGGCAAATTATTTGGACCCAGGCTGGGCTGGCTCTGGAGCCATTCTTTGTGACTCAGAGCTGTGCTTGTCAGCCACCACATGGGCTGAGTCTTTAAGGCCATGTGGTCCAGAAGGGTAGCTGCTAGCTAGCCACGTGTGGCCACTGCGAACTTGAAGTGTAGTTAATGTAAACTGAGAGGTGCTGTAAGTGTAAATTATACATTGACTTTACAAGATTTAGTACAGAATAAAGAATTCTTAAATATCTCATTAGTAATTTTTGTATTGATAATGTGTTGAATTTTTGGACCTATTGGGTTAAATAAAACGTATGTATTAAAACTAATTTCACCTGTTTCCTTTTATTTTTTTAATGTGGCTACTAGAAAATTAAAAATTACATTTATGACTTGCATTTTGTTTCTGTTGGATAGCACTGCTTTAATGAGTAGAAGTCTGCTTCTTTGTTAATCCTTTTTGCCTTGTAGTGATTAAGCTACCTAAAATCCTTGATAAATGATGTTTTAAGTTTGCTCTTCTGTTTCAGTGGTCATTATAATTATATAGCATCACTCTATTAATTTTCAGTGTAAACTGGATTTGTTTCCCCATTAGTTGCTCTCGCCAGAAGATTTAGTGAATGCGTGCAAGATGCTGGAAGCGCTGAAATTACCTCTCAGGTAAAAGGTCCTCCGCGGGGCCTTGCTGGCTGTAGTCGCTACTCCTCACAGAGTGGACAGGCAAGCCCTGCCAGGTGCCGTCCTGCAGGGCCAGCCACCATATCGCCCCTCTTGAAATTACATTCCGTGTGAACAGAATTCACTGGGCCCACAAGCATCTCTGTCATTCTGGCCTCCATCCTTAGGGCTGGGCGTGGCCTGCGGGTGCTAGTAGTCTGATGGCTGTGGATTGAGGGCAGTGAGAGTAGAATGTAGGCACCTCCCATGAGGCCAGAGTAACCAGCGCCTCCTCCCCTAGACATTTTGCGTTAGTTTCTGGAAGCTTAGAAGTGCAAATATTGAGCTGTGAATTATATTTTCCTTATCCTCAGGTTAAAAAAAAGTAGCCATACGTATTTCTGGATTATAGAAAAGCCTCTGGATTATAGTTCATAATTTTATTACCTGTTTATTCATGAGCTTTTTAGTTATGCCATGGTTGCTTGTGGTCGTTATGCTTTAAAGGTTATTTTGTGTTATTCTTCCCCTCATACCTGGGCATAAAAGATATCAAGAAATACTTGCGCCTCCTCAGGGGTTGAAAATCCCGGATATTCATGGCTTTGTTCTCCCATCTGCGATTTGTAGGCTCCGAGTTTTCGACAGCGCGTCATGGTAATTGAGCTTCAGGCCCACAAGGAAGAGGAAATGGTGGCCTCAGCCTTGGAGACAGTATGTGAACCCGGCTTCCTCTGGTTATTAGGGCTTGCTACCAAGACGCGATGCTTAGCAACTCGAGAAACAGGATTTCCTTTTGGGTTTAACTTTACTAAAAAGTAACATTTGAAGACCTAATTAAAAACAGTTTATCATTAATGAATAAATAGTAATCAAAATTATACTTTGAAAGCTTTTTGAAACTTCCGATACTCGTAACGTCTTGTAAGTAAGGAGATAGAATTAGTGAGGCGTTCTCTTTTCATTTGATGCCCAGTGTTGAGAACAGGTTCTTAACTCTGTTAATCAGAATGTTACCCATGACTGAACTTTTTCTTTCAGTAACACCCACATAAGCAGCATTATAAAACATCACAAGTTGTTTTGTGAAATAATTGCTTCAAAAAATATGAAAAGCAACTGTAGTTTAGATGGCTTTTGCTGGCCAAACTGCTAATATTACTCATTAGGATATTTGAAATATTACTGCCTTCATAGCCTCTGCGGTGAGCCTGTATAATTTGAATAACTCATATTTATTATGCTTCTAATTTTAAGCTCGATGAAAATCCCAAGACTATAGGTATTTCTACCACATATTTTAAACTACATCTGTAGATAAGGGTCCTCAGTGGAGCGTGTAATATGCACTCAATTAGAATTTGTCGTATGTTCCTTCTTAGAATAGCAATAGTTCTTTTTAAGCTTTACCGCAGTGCCTTTGTACTCCCGCACTGTTTTACTATGCACTTCGTGATATTTTAACCTCTAGCAAGTTTTGAGATTAATCAGGATAATAAATTGCTTTACAATTCAAATAAATCATATGTACGTGACATATACACCTTCACAGGGTAACTAGGATCTTTCAAGGCTGAGCTGGAGAGGAATTTGATCTGAAGGGCAGCTATGCTCACAACGGTCCTGCTCAGTGTTCCCAGAACTGGCGCCCTTTGCAGGTCCCCTTGAAGGATTAGGGAGGGGCGTAAAGAAAGTTACCGCGGGGATCTGAGGCGATCAGCCTGAACATCTACGTGAAACCTGGGAAAGGGCATCAAATATTCATCTCAGAACCCAAGCGGCCCTTATGAAGGCTCAGTTCTCACACACAGTTCCAAAGCTGTCTGCCATGTGCCTCCAAAAACAGCTGGGGATCATGCCTTATGCCCTCAACCGGTCAAAAGGGGTAGAAGCTCCTGGCTTCATCACTTCTGGGCTATTAAACACCTGTCTATGATGTTCTGTGGCCTGGGGGGTGGGTCCCACCACCACAAATAGTCCGTTCAGAAAATTATTCTGATTGGTAGAAGTTCTAGAAACAGTATTTTGGATTAGACAAATCTGTTTCTATATCTGTCACTTAATTTTAGTACAATATATTTTTTAAAATACTCAATACATGCTCGAGACCTAATGTTTGTGCCCAAGCGGTGCTTACTTCTGGCTTTTGGCTATCTTCCCCGACATCTGCATTTCGTACATGGTCTGTAGCCGGCACTTCACAAGCTCAGTGGGGCAGAGCACCAGGGCAGCAAACGCGGAGGCGAAGGAACCGGCAGCCGCATTATGCAGGTCACTGAAAGGACACAGCACAGGAGACCAGTTACCTGTCCAGCCGTTCATTCATGCAGCACTCACTGTGCTGAAACTCAGTGGTAAAGGAGAGTGCAGATGAAGGAAGAGAAACACTTCCTGAGTGCCCACCAGGAACGTGCACGTGCTGTTTCATTGAAGGATCTGCAACTCGGTGAGGCGAAAACGGAGAAAACGACACTTAGACATGATACATGTTGTGCCCAAAGTCACACAGCTGCTAAGTGGCAATGATAGGATTCGAACCCAGGTCTGCCTGACTGCAGGATCCATGCGCCTTTATCAGTCACAACGCTATGGACTGAATGTTGGGCCCCCCACCCCAGATTCCTTTGTTGAACCCTTTAACCCCAATGTGATGGTATTTGCGGGGGGAGGGGGGGGAGGGTCCTGTAGGAGGTAATTAGGTTTAGATGAGGTCACGAGGGTGGAGTCCTCATGAAGGGATTAGCGCCCTTATAAGAGACCAGAGAGCTAGGCTGTGCTCGCTCTCTGCCATGTGAGGACACAGCAAAGTGGTCCCTCTGCAAAACAGGAAGAGGGCCCTCCCCAGACACGGAACCAGCCAGCACCTTGATCCTGGACTTCCCAGCGTCTAGAAGTATGAGTAACAAATGTGTGTTGTTTAAGCCACCCAGTCAATGGTATTTTGTTACAGCAGCCAGAACAAGAAACACAGTGACACACAAAACAAAACCAAAAACCATGGAGGAGGAAAAAATTACCTATAGTCCCATCACCCAAAAACATACACTATTAATACTTTAGTGTATTTGCCGCTAAGCTTTAAATAAAACTAGGTTCTGAGGCTATGCCTACATGCTCAAAATCCAACCTGGAGCAGTGGAGCATATAACTGCCACAGATGAAAACCCAGGATAAATTTTTAACCAAAAAGCTGCCATTGCAGAAAGATTTCCCAGGTCAGCTGACGACCGCCTCAACCTCAGCAACAGACGGCATGAGGGCGTGATGGTGCCGGAGGAGAGCATAAGGCCGGTGCACGTCAGCAGTTCGAGGGTTGTAGGTAAAATGACTATACTGGAAATGTAAACGGAGGAATGAACGCACATTAGTCCAAAAGCGGAAGCACTCACCGCATCTCCTATGGGTTTAATACAACCAGCCACAGTCACCAGCAGGGCTGTGACAGTGGAATCCAGTGAGAGTCCAAGAGTATGGGGGAAAGTCTGAGAAACAAACTGCCAGAAGACTTCTCGGAGAGTTCACGGGGATCAGAAGAGAAGATCCTCTCCAAACACTGGGATGGTGTTTTGTCACGTGGGATGGGACCATCCTTTCCACGGCAGAAGGACCAAACTGCTCAAAGCAGGACAACTGGCTCCCTGGCGCTCACCTTTAAATGTCAGCATCGTGCTGTCACTGAACAACCAGGATGGGTCACCGATTTCCAGAAGGGCCCTAGGAGGTCTTCCCCGCAGCCAACTGCCCGAGGCAGAGAGATCCCCTAATAATTTTTCCGCAAACTGTGAGCAGAAGCCTAATTGACCTACCACACTCAGTTGTCCTAAAGTTACATTAAACTAACAGTTACACAAACTAACGTCAGTATTAACATGAAATCAAGGGCTGCCTCCCATCTCAGCCCTGACTTCCTATTCCCTATTCGGTGATGCACATGGGTGTAAGGCAGGTGTCCAGGGGCTGAGGCAGCTTGTCACACACTCAGGGTTCTCAGAAGAGTTGGCTCAGACAAGGTTTTCTTCCGGGAGGAAGACACTGCTTGCAGTACGGACTTCCTTTTGATCTTAGAGAACCAAACATCCGACCATTTCCAGAGGAGAGCCAGACTCAAGACTGTATCTGCACACAGCTTTCCAGAGTGTGGAAACTGCCCCAGGCCGTTCACTCCATTCCTTCCCCCTTCACTCCTACTTGGCTCATTTGTCAAAACCAAAGCTTAAATGGCGTCTGCTGTCTTCCAGCCAGCCTGCAGATCCGTACTTGCCTCCCTCAGGGACTCTTTGTCAACCTGCTGACAGGCAATAGTCAATGGGGGTCAGAATCTGCCAAGTCCGCTGGAACAAAGGTGGCATCCACAAACACAGCTGTCTAGTCAATCCAAGATGCAGCACCGGCTCGGACGCTGAATGACCACCAAGCACTTTGTTACAGCACAACGACAAGGCCACATCAGATGTGCAGTGGACTTCGGCTTTCTAATAAATACTTTCAGCTGCCAGTGTGCTAAATGAGGGCCACAGGCCCCCGGCTGGGCCTAGAGCATACATGTTCAGAACTGGAATGGAAACGGCACTAGGCGTAGGGTGGCATTTTCTAAGAACCAACTGTTTGTCACCCATTCAACAAACATGTACCTGGACCCCCCTTGCTGTGTAAGATCCCATCTAGGCAAAGGTCAAAGGAGAACACTACGCAAGGTAGTTCGAACCGAGAGCAGACAAATATTTACAACACTACTGCAGAAATTCACAGCAGGTTCTCACAGGCACTTTTCACTACTTCTGCTTATTAGTCTTTTCTCTGGGTCTGACCCCCAAAAATATTCCAGAGCCCCGACTGGGGTCGTAGGGAAAGACTGCTGGCTGGGGGCTCAGAAGACATGGTCTGCATCCTGGCTTTCTCAGTTACCAACCAGTGATCTTGAGCACGTCAGTGTCTGCGCTTCAGTCTCCCCGTCGACCAAACAGATATCACCACCTGCTTTGCTCCCCTCACAGGACCAGAGTGAGGGCTAAAAACACAACATACACCTCGGAGGTTTGTAAACTAAGGGGGCATTTCCCAACAGGTAATGAGCAAACACCGGTCTGCAGGATGAAAAAGCAGCAGCCCCCCAACTTCAAAAGGATGAGAGTGCTGGGCTAGGCCAAGTGAATAGGATGGCTTCTTTCCTGCAGGACTTTCTCACGTGGTTGCTCACTGTTTCCCTGTCTTCTCCCTCATTCGTCCTTCGAAGGATGCTGAAGGAGACCCAAACTCCAGGTCGCCCAGAGTAGAAAGTCTCACCCTCAAGTTGGGAGAGCTCCGGTCGCTACAGTCTTCCTTCTGTCAGTCTCCATCGTGGGATACCACTCTCTCCTGGGTGGTCTCCTGCTTATTTCTTTCCTTCCGCTCTTTCCTGACCCCTTTGTGCTGGTGGGTCCCATCACCAGAGCTCAACCCTCTATAGATCCTGTCTCCCCGGATGACCTCATCCAGTCCCAAGCCTTTAAAGAGCAAGTTCCATCCATCAAGATAGAATTCCTGTCTACAAAGGGGCACATCTTTAGACTTCTAGCCACCTCCAGAGAACATTTCTATATAAAGGAACCCACTCTAGTCATGTGGGACCTGTAGTTGCACTAGGGTTTCAAATTCCTACCAAAACACCCAATAAGACCGCCCTTTGCAACCACAAAGCCGACACAATAATTTTAAGTGATTTAAGACAAATCAATGTTCAAAGGAGGGATGCTATCCAAGGTACATGCCAGTGGTTTCCTAATTCTTTTTTGTCCGTATAATAAACACCCAAGGGATGACCAAGCATAAGCCGAAGTCTGACATTGGGGCAGACTCAGCCAAAGAAACCGCAGGTTCACCGGCATCTTCTCAGATGCTTCTGACCCTTGCTAAAATTCCAAGGTTCTCCTCAAACCTATTTGGCTCGGGCAACGTCTTCCAATACTCTGCATTTTGCTGATGAACTGGAGCCCATAACATGGGTCACAAGCTGTGTCTATGGTTTCAGTCCAGCACTTCTGCCCACACGAGCAGCAACACCACCGTTGGCATTTGAAAAGCATCTTCCTGAATACCAACACGTACGAGTGGTTCGTTTTCCACGGTGGATCATGGGCAATTCTCCTTTTGCATGATGCATACGTGTCTTCCAAGTTTTATACGACGACAGTGTATAAATTCGTAATCAGAAAGTAGTTATCTTAAAAAACGAAACCTCCTTCCCCATAAGGTATCATAAAAATCCTGACTGTACAATGGTATTGGTTTTTCTTAAAACAAAAAAGAGTGTCCGTGTCCTCGACTCACCTCAGCTTTGCCTGCTTGTCTAATCCAACCGCTTTCCGCACCACCTGCTGGCAGAAGCCGTAGCACATGAAGAGGACGGAGTTCTCGGCGATGTTGGCGATCAGCGCTGGGCTGGTCCCCCTGTAGAAGCCCCGGAAGCCCACCTGGGAGTAGGTCTTCAGGCAGCAGTCAGTGAGCCCTCTGTACAGCTTGGGGAACGTCTGCATCTTCACCTTCAGTGTGTCGAAGGGCTGCCCCGTCAGAACGCACGCTGTGCCCCCTGCAACCAGGACAGAATCCTTCTCCAGCACTCATCTACGGCTGTGTGTGAGCGCAGCCTCAATCACCCGGGGGAATGAGGGACAGGCAGCCCACCACAGGGCGCGCCTCTGCTGCAGTTCATTTGACCTCTTTCCCCCTATACCTTCTAGCTGAGTCCAATAAACAACTTCTAGGAGGTCCGGAAGGGGCCCAGCACCCAGGTCCAGCCCTGAAGGAGCTCACACGTGGTAGAGGGAGATGTGTAGCCGATAGTGAAAGCCACAGGAGGCAAGGCAGGGGGTGTGTTTAGGAGCATCAGCCAAGGGGTCAGAGGGACCTTGGCTTGAAGCCTGGCTCTGCCGTGAGATCCTGGACAAGCCATGTAACTTCTGAGCCTCAGTTCCTCAGCTACACCCAGCTCATAGGGTTCATGCGAGGACTCAGGAAAAATGGATGAGCAGGCCTAACCTAACGCCTGCTCCACAAGCGGTTAATAAACAGCAGTTAGTGTGTGTGAGCGCGAGAGCGCGAGGCGCGAGAGAGCGAGCGCGCGCGTACGCGCGCAGCCATATAAAAGGAAGGGGAGGAGAAATCTCGGAAGAGTTAATCACTCTCTTTGCCTAACGCCCAGTGGCACTGATGACTATCAGAAAAATTACAGAGCAGCAGGCAGCAGATAAGGAAAACAGAGTCTGGCTAATTAATCCCTGAGGAGCTAAATATTTGACCCTAGGGAAAAACCTCTAATTTGCACTCTTTCCATTAATGATTTGTATTCAGATAGGGAACAGACTGAAACTTACCTTTGCTTGGCATAAATCCTATTATTTATAAGCTTTTATACTGTAGGAGTACTAAACACAGCAAACTCTAGATTGCATTAGATGCCTTCAATAAAAATTCTGAACACAAGGAAGCGAATGAGCCATAACCACTCTAATCTACCCCCAGCCCCTGGACTGGGGTCAGCATTCTGGGAACTGCCACGGGTGAGCGCTTCCACCTCCCTTGGGCTCAAGATGTCCCCTGCTCGTGTCAGGAAACCACCACTGGGTGAGGTTATTAAAGCCTCATCAAAACTGAAGAGAAGGCTTACATAAAATATTTAAGAAAGACAATTTCATAAGTTTGACATTGTACATAGTTACTCCAACTAAACTGTGGAAAGCAGAGATGGGGGAGGGACTGTTAACTCCCAATTAATTATGGGCAGAGAAACAGACATTTCCAAAGAGTCTGAAAGTCGTCTGATCCCTTCTTTAAGGACTACAAGTCTGATCTGAGCACAAGTCCAAGCTCCAGGATCATGTCACTGCTATTCGTTTCTTCCACAAGAGGAAGGACACATTTCCACTTTGTCTTGCCACCTTATCACAAATTCTGAATTAGTAGAATATAATGTAATAAGATGTTACTATAATCAGAGTTATTCTCTCTCAGGGACTGCTAGGCTAGAATCAAAAAAGATCCTAATTATATCAAAACAATTCATCCCAAAAGAAGAGGTGAATGTCAGAATTTAAATGGGTACATGATTTAGATAATCCAGATGCAGATAAGCTGAATAAAGCATATAATTCAGAGAAAGAGATATATATATATATTTTTATTTTTTTTTTTTGGAGAAAGATTACCTTTGAGCTAACATCCACCACCAATCCTCCTCTTTTTGCTGAGGAAGACTGGCCCTGAGCTAACATCTGTGCCCATCTTCCTCTATTTTATATGTGGGACACCTGCCACAGCATGGGTCAATAACTGGTGTGTAGGTCTGTGCCCGGGATCCCAACCAGCAAACCCCAGGCCACCAAAACCGAGCGCACGAACTTCACTGCTACACCACCAGGCCAGCCCCCAGAGTAGTCTATTTTAATGTTTAATTTATAGACATAAAACACATTTTTAATACAGAGTAATACTTTAACTGGAAGTCTTCCGTATTCTAACCCAATCATCCTGAACAGTTCAGACATCAGAGTTTACTACAAGATGCATTGGTTGGTATATCTGTAACAGTTACATTTCCAACAGGGAGAAGGTAGGAGGCTAATGAATTTTCAAATGCCAGCTACAATTCTCTCTTGCATCCATGGAGGTAAGCTAATTTCCCATGTAATTTCCCACTCACAAATGACACTGTGGCAGCACCTGCCGTGGCCCCTCTAGTGGGTGATGAGTATTCTGGACACCAGCCCCAACCGCTGAGCCCGACCACCTAGCCGGTCTTCCGATCTCTGACAAGTCAATGAAGAAACACATAATGTAGAGGAAGTAAATATTTTTCCCGACTTGGAGCTCAGACCTGTGATCATCTCTTTCTCCTCAAGAGAGGAATGGAAACAGCCTCTGCCTTCTTTCACAGGTGTCACAATTGCATCTTAGTCTCTAAGAGAGGCACTCAGATGTGTTGCTCCCTACACTTTACCAAGGCGGGTGCCGTGGATTTTCAGTCCTCGACAGAGTAGGCAGCAAGTGACGAGGTGTTGAGGGAACTGTAGGGGCAAGGACAGCACACAGGGAGGACAGAGGCGAACACCGAGAAGCAGACCGTCAACCAGAAGGACCTGGTCCGCCCTGTCCACCCAGGCAGAGGCGAGAATGGCACACCGCCCTGGAGACGGTCCACAGGTATTCCACTTAACAGCACACAGAGGCGGGAAATTTCCAAAATATTCCCATCAAAAAAGACTTTGGGTTTGGTTTTAGTTTTGACATTTGAGAGGACAAACTTCAATTATATAAAATGTGACAGTGCCCAACTACACTAAACAGACACACTGCACAGAGCAGTCGGCAGGAAGCGCGGAAGTTTGCAATTGTTAAACCTCTAAATCTTCAAGCGCCGCCAAGGTTTCCCTTCATGGCAACTTAACTTTGAGATCCATGCTGCCTCATTTCAATAATGATCCAGTTACCTAACCATCTTCTTCACACACTCCCCTCCCGGCTGCCTGGGGCTCTCCATCCTTTCCGGGAACCTCTCCCCCGGCAGCGCAGACAGACAGCGACGGCTTCCCAGCACCTTAGAGCAGAGGAGCTGGGCTGAAAACCTGTCTGGTGGGGGACGTTTGTTTACAAGGAAAAGGAGAGCCACGGAGAACAGCACATGTAGTCTACACCCATGTCACCTCAGACCACGACTGGCTCTGCTCTCAGGCGCGAATCACTTTCCTGGGTGGTCTGTGTCCACAAAACACTAGGGGTCCTTTGCTCCTGGCAATGGAAAAGAAAATGAAAAATCCCAAAGCCCAACAATCTCCCCAACCACAGAGCTGGGGCAGCAAGGTCTCTAAACTGATGCCCCTCTCTGGGAATGCTGTTGGCCCATTATGCAGAATTAACACAAACAACAGAACTAGACAAGGAACGAAGCAACCAACGTCCCAGCCCTGCCGTTACACTATATAGCTGTGCAACCTTGAACCACCATCCCTCTCTGGGCCTCTTTTCTACATATACAATGAGCACTATTGTCAATGGTCTCTAAAGGCCCTTCTAGTTCCATCCTTTGAAGACTGGGACGCCTCCAAGGTGGGACTGCTGCTCCCCTTTGCATTCGTGCCTCCCAGCAGAGGGAGTTCTCAGGTCACTAACAGGAACCTCTTCTGCTCACAGCCACCACAGGCTTAGACCCCCTGCAAGGGAGCCTGCTGTCCTTGGAAGTTAGAATAACCCAGGGCAGGGCTACATCAGAGAGGGGCGACCCTGTGTACCAGCGCAGGAAGAAAGAGCTACCCAGAGTAACCAGGAAGAGTAACTACTTATACGCATAAGGGCTCGATACATGTTAATACTATTGCAAAGCAGCACATCTTCCAGCAAATGCCTTACACACCAGACTCCCAACAATACTCTTGCAATTTCTATCTTTAAAAACTTACCACAAGTTATAAATGTGGCACCCCATACCTGCCCACACATAAACACCTTTCTAGGAAAAGGTAAGCATTTTAATTCTATCACAACAGATCCCACATCTTTGATAGACTGACTGAAGGACATTTAATTCCAAAAGCTGAGAATCTCTCAGGTGGTTAAATGCCCTCCTGCTGCAGAAACAAAAACTGAGCCCAGGGTGTTCACACGACAGGAAGAGGATGCCAGAGGCTGGCAAAGGGTTCCACTGTTCCCGTGGTCAGTGTCCTCCAAATGTGACAAGGGGGGGAGGGCAGGGGGGCGTTGCAGCTCAATTCCACGGCAGGACGAGGGGCTGACCCAAAGTCACACATTAGGCAAGAGGCCACTGGGGCAGATCCTGGATGGCCCTAAGTTTCCCTGTTCCTGGGGCAGGACACTCCTTTGGGCCTCTAACCCGGGGGCCATGCCCTCCCCTGCACTTCTTATCAGTGTCTGCAATGCTGTGTCTCTGGCCTTCCTCATGGCCTTATTAGCCTACCTTACCCGACCTTTGGATTATGGGAAAATACTTTGTTCCTCTCTGAACCCAACTTCTTTTTTACAACTAAGCAATGACAAGATAAGAGGAGACAACCACACTTGAGCTGTTGACCCAGGAGGTCCCACCAGATAAGAGGACAGGGCCATCCAGCCTCTGGCCTCTCCACCCAGGGCAGCTGTGACCCATGGTAAGAATCAGGAGGCCAGGGTAGACGGGGTTTCCATCTGAGAAGCACGAGTGCTCCAGAGGCCCTACAACAACACAGGCATCTGGAGAACCAAGTCACCACCCAGGACTTCCGACTCTGTCATCTGCCTCAGGCTGAGTGAGGTGACCTTTTCTAAAGAGTGACCTGTGTGTTGCAAGCCCTGCCCAAGAGTGCTCACCTGTGCCCACCGGCCACGGTCTGCCCTGGGACTTGGCCCCGAAGCCCAGCCCACTATCCCCAGGCAAATGCTGGGGCCTCTCCTTTCCTTTCCTGTCCGTCTCATTTACCAAGGACATTTCTGAAGAGAGCCCTCCTTTCTCTCCCCAGCAGTCGTAAGGACAATCACTGAGATTTCCCTGGAGAGTTGGCACAGTGTTACTTTTGCACTATGAGGGCTCTGAAGACGGCCAGGCATGTGGAATCCCGTGTCACTTGCCTCTCCCGGCCATGTGACAATGGACGAGTGATTTCAGCTCTGAGCTGCGATGTTTTCCAGCTGTAGACTGGGGATGCCCCCAACCCACAACCTGACTCAAAAAGTTTTAACACAGCGAGAACTCCCCCACCTTCTGCCGTGCTTGAACACGGTATTACACGCCAGTAAAGGGCTGCGTCCCGGGGGTGAGGCGTATTGCGTCTGGAGTGCCCAAGGTAATAGTTCCACCACCCTTTCACTCGACCTCCCTTAGAGAGGAGACTTGAGGAAGAGAGGACAGGTTTTCTCCGGGATTACCTGCGGCCCCGGCAGTGAGGTCAATGGCAGCTTGGATGGCAGGATTGGACTTCATGTTCGTCTGCTCCTCTGCTGGGCTCCGTGGGAGGCAACTCTCTGGAGCTTATGTCGGGCACCTCACATCCCTGGGAGGAGGGAAGGGTTCACCATCAGTCGGGCCCCGCAGCCTCCCCTTCTCTAGGCCTGCTGCCCAGTTACTGGGCCTGAACTTCTGGGAGCTGGGAAATCGGCTCTTGCTGCTGTGAAGGAAGAGGGCTCAGGGTGTCCGCACAGCTGAGCCATCAGCCTCCCCTCTCCCCGTCCACCACCTCCCCACGAAAAGCTCTCAGGTCAAAAACCTTCCTGATATCAATGCCACAGCCACTTGGGGCGGGGGAGGGGAGTGCCTTCAACCAACCTTTCCGGAACCCTTAGAAACAAATGCCAAATAAGTGAGCCAACCACAGACATCCCAAGCCACATCAGCCTAGTTTTTCAGAGGCTGACGTTGAACTACCTGTGCACCACGCTCAGTTCGAAATTCAGACAGTGGCCTGTGGGGGTCCCTAAGAGGAAGTCACAAAACCATCTGGGAAGGAGCAGGGTTGGAGCTCTGGCGAGTGACACACGCCTGGGTCATCTGAATGCCTGCTCTGCCACCAGCAGGGTGGCTCCTTGGGCCTCTAGAGCTGGGGGTCCCCATCTACACAAGGTGAATAAAGTATTGTCACTATAATACAAAAGGCAATCACAAATAGCCACGTCAGACAGATGTGATGACGAATTGTGAACGTGCAGCACGGGTCCTTAGAATAGCCACAAAGCACAGCATCAAACATTAGTTACTGTCACCTCGGAGTCCCCTCCAGAGCTCCACTGTGAATGCGCACAGGAATCACCGGGGGGCCTTGTTAAAATGCACATTCTGATCCAACAGGCCTCAGGTGGGACCAGGAGTGCTGCCCGTCCTGACCTGCTCCCAGATGAGGCTAATGCCTGGGCACCAACCCTCCGAGAAGCAATACCTGGTCCACTGTGTCCCAAATTTGCTTGATAAGAATCACCTGGGGCACTTGTTAAATATTCAAATGACCAGGCCTCTCTCCTGGAAATCTTGATTCAGCAGGTTTGGGCTGAAGCCGGCAGTCTGGGAAAGCTAGAGTCTACTCCTCTCCCTTTAGACAAAAATCAATTAACTATGGCTGAGCACGGACTTCATAAACATTGACTAGAAAAAGGAAAGTTGGCTCACTACACTAACATAGAATATTCAAATAACCAACTCTGTATGGTTTTCAAATGATGTAAGTGACTTATTCGTGAATAACAAGGGATTTTTATTCATCACACTGAAGAGAGCTGTGATCCCAGTCAGGCCACCTCTCAGAGGAGGTGCGCGGGCCAGGCCGGATCATTGACGAATGCCAACATCAGCCTAAACGTCAGCAGAAAATAATCTTAGCTACCAAGTTTTTTAACCACTTGAAGCACGTTCTCTCTGACCAGACACCAAGAATCTTCCTTTCTCCACAAAAAATTTTAAAACCAGCAACAAGAAAAGCACAGAACTTAATAAAAGCAACTAAGACATACAAGACACCAATTTAACATTATTGATGGGCCTAGAACGCCAGGACTAATTACTAAGGTTGATGAGGCGGCCTGGGGGATGCAGAGAACGACATCAGGGCTTAACCCAATCTCCTCCTTTTCCAGATGGAATACTGAGGCCAGAGGGAAACAAGGGCCTGCCCAAGGTTATAAGACTAGTCAGGGCAGAGGGAGGACTCAGCTCAACTCTTGCCTTTTGGGTCTGCGCTTACCAACCAATACTTAATTCCAGAGTTTTCCAACCTGGCCAGAAAGGAGAAAAGAAAATCCAACCGTGCACTTTAAAGGAAAATGAAGGCAAGCGGGGAGAAAAGTCACACGTGCAGGGCACAACGTGGCCTTTTCAGTGTGTTCATTCCTTTCATTGTGGACCTTTCTTTCTTAACTTAGAAGGAAAGAAAGGCACAACAGATTGTACTATATCAAGGTGAATTCAACCCCTTTAGGTAAGTCAGACTTGAACACACCAAATCCTACAAATAACTACTTGTAGAATTATCAGGATAGTAAACAGTGAGAGGAACAGATTAACTCAGGTGTGGTCAATTGACTCAAATTACACGCAGTCTTGGCTTGAAGACGACATATGGCTCGCGGGAGGCGAGACTGATCAGCATGAGTTAAAACCGATTCGTGAGCCTTCGGTACCGCTTAGAGGGGAAAAACTGAACCCTTCCAGCGTCCCTTTACCCCTCTTTCAAACTGCACCCGAGTCGGCCTCCGGGAAAGACAAACCACAGGGCCGATCATACAGCCTTCTCGTTCCCTGGGGAAATTAATTTCTCTTATGGGAGGATCCGATGAGGCCACACTTTCCACCACGTACGCGAAATGCCACGGGAAGGTTCCAGCTTCAGGCCGGAGCCGGCGCGGCGGGAGGCCGCCTGCCGCCGAGTCACCACGGCCGGGGCGGGAGGGCGCTCGGAGGCGCCCCAGGCTCGCCCCCCAGCCGCCCCTCCTCCTGGGCGCGGGATCCCGGTCCGCCCCAGGCACAGCTCGCCGAGACCAGTTCCAACTTTCTCTTCCCCGCTCGATCGTCCGCCGACTCGGCCCCGGCAACCTGCCCGCGTCTCCATTCATCGGCGCCTCCGACCTCCCCGGCGCTCGGGCGGCCGGCTGCCACCGCGCGCAGCACAGGAGGGCAGCAGGTGATCCCCGGGGCAGGAGGCCGCCCGGCCCGCCAGTCTCCCGGGCAGCGCGGGGCGAAGGGCGCCGCGGGTCCCGGCGCACGTGCACGGCGGCCGCCGACCCAGGAGCCCAGCCCGGCGCCCGGGAAAGTGGCGCCGCCAGCCCGCTGCCCGCGCCCCACTCCCGGCGGGCTCCCCGCAGCCCGCGAGCGCCGGCCGGGGCTGCGCTCACCGCCACGTCCCGCTCGGGCTCCGCCGCCTGCTCTCGCCTCCCCTCCGCGCCGGGGCCGCCTCTTACCGCCCACGTCGGCCGCGGCCCGGCCCTCCGCTCCGCCCCCAGCGCCCCCGCGGCGGGCGGGCCCGGGCCCGGGAGGTGCCCTCCGCGAGGCGGAAGCCGGCGGCGCGCTCAGGCCTCGGGGGCGCGGAGCGCGTGGAGCTGCAGAAGCGGGAGCGGCCGCGGCGCCGGGCCGGCCTCCCAGTCGCTTCCCTTTCCCGGGGCCTCGGAGACCTTGGGCGGCGCAGGGCGCGGGGATGGGAGAACGGCCCGAAGTCCCGGGGCTGTTAACCTCGCCGGGCCTCGGGGCTCAAGGCTTTGATTTTAAGTTATAATTGAGAACGAAAGCACTGGAAAGGTGGTGATGAGAAATATTCTCATTCCGCCTCCCGCAAAGAAATCCATCCTTACGTTTGGGAACGTGCAGTCGTCTATGAAAGCTGTAACAGTGAATTGGCCTCTCTGATCTTTTAGTTGCTAATGAATTATAGACTGTTTCTATGGCTCTCTGGCGCTTTGTGAAAAGGCACTATTCAAAGAAGCTATTGTATACCCGGGAGTAAAGGAATTCTCTCTAGCGCTCGGCCACACAGCAGATGCCTCCTCGGTTGGAAGGGTCTCGGCCTATTACTGACAGCAGTTCAGTGTGACAGTCACGGCCTTCCCATTGCTTTGGTTCAGACTTCCCAAGCTGTATTTATTTTCATCTTCTACACCGTGTTTTCTTCCTTAAAGCGTGGTGTCATTTTATTTTACAGCTTTCTGCCCTGTGTGGATGTGCTGTTGGATTATTGCCAGTGTAATTTAAGTGATTTTTGGCGTGGGCCAGTAACTTAAGTATCGGAGGTGACTTGCTCTTAAGGTGAATGCACGACTGAGTAGACCTTCCTGGTGGAAGAAATGCTATGAAGGTCTCGGAGCTCCTGATAAACAGGCACGCTCATCAAAACAGCACAAGAGTATCTTTTCACAGCATCAGCACTTTAGAAATCAGGTTTCCCAAACACAATTTAATTACAGAAACAAGGCAGGGAGGTTGAATGACTTGACCAGAGTGACATGAAAGGTAATTATTGGGAGATAGATCCAGGAGCAGAATCTACAGTTACAACATCCTAGAGGACTGGGGGACTTTTTTTCTTTTTTCTTTTTTTTGTTGAGGAAGATTAGCCCTTACCTAACATCTGCTGGCTATCTTCCTCATTTTGCTGAGGAAGACTGGCCCTGAGCTATAATCCGTGCCCATCTTCCTCTACTTTATATGTGGGACGCCTACCACAGCATGGCGTGCCAAGCGGTGCCATGTCTGCACCTGGGATCCGGGTCAGTGAACCCCAGGATGCCAAAGTGGAACAGGCGCACTTAACTGCTGCCCTACCGTCAGGCCCCTGGGGGACTTTCAATATCACCTGGCCCAGTGGCTTTTGCAAACTACAAAAATTAGGCCCAAAGGAAAGCTAATTAAGGACGGATCTAGATCTCCTGTTATAGATTAGAAAGAGCGCTGGACTGAAGCCAGGACACTCACGTAAGAATCTCTGTGTGGCCTTCAGTGAGTCATTTAGCCTTTTTAAACCCAACCATCACCTGACTGCCCACACGGCCTCCTTTGAACCCTTCTGCTCCCGGAGCCTGCTGGAGCAAGCCACCACATGGGCTGACAGCACCTCCCTCCCCCCCAAATGGTTTATCTCCTCTCCCTTTATCTCTTTCCTCTTCTTCCCTTACAAGGGCTGCTCCGAACTCTGGTCACTCTCCTCAAGCCTTCTACATTTCTTCTCTCCCTCGCCTCTCCTTACCATCTCTCAGCCTCAATTTATCCTATAAATGAAGAAGCAATCAGGAAACATTTGCACAAATTTTTAATCCTAATCTACAAAGGTACCTTTTTTGCACAAACTCTCATCTGGTTTTCTTCTTTCTTGCTGTCTTGCCGGGCTAGGACTCAACGAAATTCTAATGTCCAATTCTAATGTTCACGTTCTTAACCACTATGCTCTGCAGTAATACGTCCCAGAAGGCTTCCTCTTCAAAGAAGAGGGTTGCGGGAACCAGAAGTTCTTCTGCCAGAATAGATCTCCTTCCATAATATTTTACAAAATCGTCTCAGCAGCTTCAAATCCCTCACAGCACTGGCTCTTTCTGCTATCTTTGTGTTAGGAATGGAAAAACAAAATACACAGACGTTAAAAAAACTTAACATCTCACTGGAACTCAGAGAACCGATTGGAAAATCACCTGTTTGGCCTTAAATCATGAAAGTGTCCAGGCAATCTTTGTTGTGAGGGTAATCCCCCAGGAGTCCAATGGCCTCTTGAGGACAGAATTTGAGAGTCATGCATCACAGTTTTCTGTATGGGTAGGGTAACCCAATAGGATTTCAGACCTGGGTTCAGAACAGCAAACAGGTCAATGCACTGACCCCTTTGCTCTAAGTAGCTGTTTGCTGCACCTGGATTGCACAACCAGCGACGTCAGTGCAGCTGGCTCTGTGATGAAGGGGCTGGTGTGACACAGGTCAGAGGTGAGGGGATGGACAGAGTGGCTACATGGAAAAGGAGCCTTTTGCTGTTTCAACAGAATTTCACAATGCACTGGCTAATGATAACAAAAGGACAAATAATTTCACCACTTGCATTTTGGCTGTGATGCTATGTGGATGTGTTTTAACAAAGTCTTAATTGGAATTGAAAATAATTCAAAAACGTAAATCATCTCTGATTCAAGGATACTTTTAGTTAATGAGAAGGAAGAAAAAATGCTTTGATTACACAATTTCAACTCCCACTGAAATTCTTAGCTGCTGATGTGACTTTTAGTGAAAACTCCCTCAAGTATTTTTTGGAATCAAGTAGAATTTGTTTGTATTTGAAATAAACATGGATTTGGATTCCTGTCTATCTGTGTGGAATAAGGGGGACTTTGTATCCCGTGAGAGAGTTGTGAGGACAGTGTTTTAAAGGGGGGCAATTTCTTTTATTTGTCTTTTCCTTGGTAGCTTTTTAACAGTACAAGCAAAAATGAGAAAGTCAGCTGAGGCTCATATTTCATGAGCCTTAGGTTTGAACTTATAAAATATATTTTAAAAAATAAGAGATACTTTATAATAGCAAAGAATTAGGGGAAATGCCCATAAGTGGTTAAAATTTAATGGGTCATCAATAAAAGGAAGTACTATGCCATAATTTAATTATTTTCTCAAATCATATGCTTTAGTATCTATTTGGCTGCAAGTAACAGAATGTCCAACTATCAGTATATTTATTTTGAATATAAAAATAAAGCTAGAAGTGGGAAGTTCCAAGTTTGTTTGATTTAACAGCTCAAAAGTATCTGGGTCAGCTTCTCTGTGATTCTCTTGACTTTTCCCTCATGATCACAAAATAGCTGCCACAACTCTGCCTATCACATCCTCACATGCAACATCCAAAGGCGGGAAGGAAGCATTCTCCCATATGTCCTTTTTTGTCAGAGAAAATAGTTTTTTTCCAGAAGCCTTCTGTCAAACTTCCCCTTATAGCTCATTGGTCCAGAACTGGGTTTCATGCTCCCCCAAACATAAACACTGGGAAGAGAATGGAGTTACCATGGTTGGTTTAGAACAGGGGTCAGCAAAATTATTATGAAGAGGACCAGCTAGTAAATATTTTAGGTTCGCAGGGCATGCAATCTCTTGCATTTATTCAACTCTGCCGCTGGAAAGCAAAAGCAGCCATAGACACTGTAAACGAATGTGTGGTTGTCTTCTGATAAAACTTTATCTGTGAGCACTGAAATTTGAATTTCATATAATTTTTACCTATCACAAAATATTATTCTTCTTTTGATTTTTTTCAACCACTTAAAACTTTAAGGAAACACTTTGTATGGCTTGTGGCCAGGGTTGGCTAGCAGGCTATGGTTTGTGGACGCCCAGCTTAGACCAAAGATGATTTATCCCCTTGGGACTATGGGAAAGGCCCACCTTCCCTGAGGCATCACCATCACAGACCTGAAAACAATAAATAAAGCAGGGTTCTCTTAGGCAGTCAAGAATGACCCCTACAGCACATTAAAGACATGGAAAAATGCCCAGGGATGTGATGATTTTTAGAAAGCAGATTATGTGTCAATATGGACCGGACAACCCCAACCAATTCCGCCTGTTGAAATCCCCGCTCTTCCCTCAGACCTCTTAGACACGGCCACCTCCAGTGGCTTCTCCTGACCCCTGGTTCTCCCAAACGAATCGGATCACTGCTTCCTATCAATATCAGACTTTAACTTAGCATGGATCATGTGCTTGGCTCTCCACCAAACCAAGTGCTGGAGACACAGAAATGAAACAGATGGTGACTAGCCTCAGAGAAACGTCGGTCCACGTAGAGAAGGAGGAAACAAATAATTATAATTCAAGGAGGGCATGTGGCCAGAGGGGTGTGAGCAGTGTGGCATCCCAGAGAAGGGTATGAATAAAGGATAGAGAAGAGGGTTTCATGAAAGGCCCCCAGGAGACCCCCGTATGAGGGTGGGTTTTGAAAGGAAGTGGCCCTTTTTTAAGAGGATGAACATCTCTTGATGTGTCACTCAGGGCTGTTAGCTGCAATCAACAGAAGCGAATGGGCTGAGGGAGCACAAAGGCATTGGGTTAAAAGGATACTGGGATGCTCTCAGGATCGTCAAATGGGGAGACAGGGCACCCTGAAGAACTTCTTGAAACGAGTCCCCAAACGTGCTGCAGAACAGGTCAGATGTTACAGTTCGTACCACTGTCCCTTTTGTGCCAGGGCCTCAGCCTCATAGCATTGCTCTTCCAAAGCTGGGCACCTTCGTTACCAGCTTTGGCTAATAAGTCACTTCCGTGCCATGTCCACTGCCTTGTATTGCTCGTTTCCAAATCGACATCTCATGTAGACGCAGCTGATGGATGGAGCTGTACCCTGAGCTTCAAAGGACAATGGGGACGTGGATTTCTGGCCTCTCTTGGAGAGGCAGGACTCACTTGTTAGAGAAGTCCCTGAATGGAGACAGGGTTTTCAAACAATGCTAAACAGCCAGAAAACATGACACACGCCCGCTCCAAACCAGCCAAGCATTCCAGTCGGAGGAAACGGCAGGTCTAAGGCAC